CACACACACACACACACACACGGATGTGTGTTGTCCAGCTGGGAAGCTGTCACTTCAGGATGAGCTCACAGGAAGTGGTGTCATAAGACCTGAGTAATGTTGCTTTGTGCAGACAGGTTTCCATCAATCCCACCAAGTAGAGCTCTTTAGCCACTAGACACTCCTACCCAGATCGTCACACTGGCCTGTTGTACACGACAATTAGCATATTGTTCTGCACATCTGTACAACACTCACCGATATCCATCTGATTGTCGACAAAACCTTTATTCAACCAGACATGAGAACCTTAGTACCAGGCAGCCCATCTGAGATAGTGGCACAATTATATGAAGGTGTTGTTCTGTTGATAAATGGCACACCAAACTGGTTCCTTTCCACGTTTGTCTTTCTTCAGTCAAAACACCACAAATGCATCACCGTTAATCACGAACGATCAATCAAAATGACTCCCAAACATTTTAAACACTAACCAAACAATGTATTCAATAGATGAATAATGTGATTTGAGCGTTTCTTTTGATGCTACTAGAGCATTCTTCGTGACCTCGGTATTCGGTATTTAGAGGCACGCTTTATATTTTTGTATTATACGCTCTAAAAACAGCCAGGGAACTTCCCAACCTTTAAACTAAGAATATAAGATGCAGAGACCAGTGGCTTTGGAGCATTTGAATTCACTGTTGTTTAGACAATTCCATTCACCTGGTGTATGAACGCCGCTAAACAACTTCAAAGGGCAGTTAACCAATGGGCTACTATCGCCTTTAAAAACACCACAGAAATTACACTTCTAAAATCTGAAAATCCTCACGGTCTTCCAACACTTCAGCTTTAAGGGAGAAGACTCCACAGTTGCACTTTTCAGCGGTGGCTGTTTTGAACTGCGGCAAGCACGAAAACCGCTCATCCACCCAACTGCAAAACAGCCGACATAAAAACTGCAACTTACAACCACTGCCGTTTCCTGTGAAGTCCTTCTTTGGCACACCTGACTTTTTAAGTGTCATTAACCAACTGCAAAGCTGGAGCATCAAAGTGAATAACCTTGCAAAGGCTTAGGACCTCAGAACCGCAGCGTCCGCTGATGTAACAGAAAGACAGTCACCTTGACAGTATTTTCTGCACCCTCCAATTGCCCCCCTCCTTTTCATAGCGATACACAGCAATTCAAAAAACAAATGAATTGACAGACACTAACCAGTATCAAAACCTCGCTTTGCAAACCTCTTTTGCTTTTCAGTAACCGCTGCAGCGCCTGTGCCGCGACTTCTATGGACCAGCACGCCTTCCATCAGACCTGTAGACAGAGCTGACCAATAATTTTCGAGCTCAGGAAAAAAGCGGCCAATCGTGTTCGAGGAGCCGTGAAGACTATATCGCCAATCACAGTGCGCGCCTGCCTTGACACCTTACCCAATCAGAAAGGGGCATGGGTGTACGGAAACCAATCACAGTGCAACACGAAAAAAAATCCCAGTTATCCCTATCCAATGGTAAAAAGATTGGAATAGCAGCCTTTTCAATTCGGAGGATTTTTAGGTTGAATATACATAGAACAGCGGATTTACCTAATTTTAAATGTCTGGAATAATTTAATTTTAAAAAAATTAACATTTTTAAAATAAAAAAACTCAAAAGATATTGAGGTGGCTGTAAATATTTTTAGTCCTGCATTGTAGTTTATGGATAATAAACATAAAATATTTTCTTTTAATCACGGTAAAGCCAACCGCCAAAATTAAACAGTAGTTTCTTCCTGATGCAAAGCTAAGGCAGCAATTGTTGAGATAATAAAAGCTACATTTCCACGGTAAGCGCGCTTCGCGGTACAGGTGTACAGTAGGTGACGAGACTAAGCTGACAGGTTCTGAAAATGCTCTTCTCGTAAATACAGTACCACTAGACTTCTTCCTGTTAGGCCCCCAGAACCAACATCTTGTCGTTCAATTATTATTCTAAGCAGGAAGTTACCGTGTGAACAGCAAAGACGTTTCAAGGATGCTCCATGACTCTTGAGATACTAAATCTTGAGGATTGCGATCTGTTGCAAGAGAAGTCAAAATAAGAAAAATGTGGCGTGTGGTTGTGTAATAGTTTATTCATTAGACCCTTTAAATGTTTTCACTTTTCTACAAGGCTCAAATATTGCAGAATTTACTTGTGTATTCATGAGGAAATTGGAAAAAATGAGCAGAAAACAATTTAAAACGTGTCATCAACTAGAATCAGTATTCCCACATTCCTGTATTAAGTTCAATTAGTGGTGCAATAACCAACGTATTGCAGTTGAGTCCCGTATAAATTAGCAATTGGTTTCAATACTCCGAACTGGAATTAATGGTACGAAATAGTTCATCGTGTGTACGCCAGAATGTAATATGTTTTGCCAAAGGTGACGCTGTAATGAACTTTTCGCTACAGGGTTTTTAAAACATTCTGAATTGCAGGCATTCAATTTGTTCTAACCCTTACAAGTGCTGAAAGGATTGTGGGTAAATTAAGATTGTATGTTGGTGACTGGGATGTCAGAAAATAAAAGAAATTGTGATTTTGGCGATTATGTTGGTTTAATAACGATCATTATAAGAGCACATTAAAATTGTCGAGGAGGAAGAAGGACTCGCGGTTGAGGGAGAGAAATTAAAAAGTACAGAAAGGTTTTAGTTTAGTTGTTGCTTGCCGGCGTAGGAAGTGCATGTATTAAAGCTAGATATTGCCGGTGGACAAAAGTAAAATTGTGTCCACTTTAACGGGACCTACTGTATGTGGCATATTGCTGAAATTGCAGAGCAGTGGAGATTGTTTTCGGAGAGAACTGAGTATCTTGGCATTGCTAACGGAATTGAAGACGAAAGACTTTTTAAAGCGTGTGAGGAAAACATTCCGCTTGCTTCGCAGTGTGGTGCTACCAGGACAACCGGGCCACAAAATCACATGAAGTCAGAGGAAATTCTGCAGACACATTTTTCACCAAAGCTATTTGTGTTTGCAGCAAGATTTAGGAAATGATCAATAATTATATTTGTTGTATTGCCGTCCATGACATGGGGAAGGAGTATGTTACAGTACGTCCATTGTGGCTTGCCTTAATTACGTTTGAAAGGATTTGGGATGGATAAAGATTTTAGGATAATGTTAGTGTTATCAGAAAATAAAAAGCTGAATCTGGCACTTAACTCTGTTTGATGTCTAATTATTTTCAGTTCTAATGAGCTTTCTCTAAAGAGGACACAACAGAACTCACTGATCACTAGCAAGTAGCAGTTGAACCTTTTCTGCTAGAATTTTAACTAGGAAAATTAGATACTGGTTCAATCAAAACTTTAGCTAAGAACAGTTCCAAACGAGAGTAAGCCAGACAAAACACACTTGGTAGTAGCTAACTGATCTGAGGATCTTGTCAAGAGTGTAGCCGTTTCTTGAAAGAGTATGGGCTTGGACAACATGGCATGTTCGGTAGCATGTTCCATGTTCACACAATTGTTTCTACAAAGTGCCTCCTGTTCTCAGTTTTAAAAACACTTGTAAATAATTTTCATTCGTCCTCTGGTTGGTTTTACTGCCGGTTTCTGCAAAAGTCCATGCAGTTGACATTTAACACTTTTTCAGACGTTGAATATTTACAGGAGCTGTCCATGTAGGACTTTCCTTTCAGGGAGGGGAATGTACCAGGTTTGGGTACTCTTTTCTGAACTAATTTCCAGAGCAGCTATAACTTTTTAATAACATGGGTCCTGAAAGGGACAGCACTTTTGTCCAGTGATTAGCATTACTGCCTCACAGCACTGGGGCCCTTGGTTCAATTCTGGACCTGGTGTGCAATCTGCATGGAGTTTGAATGTTCTCCCGGTGATCATGTGGGTTTTCCTCTGGGTGCTCTGGTTTCCTCCCACAGTCCAAAGCATTGGCTTCTGGGTATATTGACACTGATGTGTGTGTGTGCCCTGCAATGGACTGGATCCCATCCAAGGTGTACCCTGCCTTGCATCCACTGCAAAGTTTTTATTTTGAGGGGGGTATAGGGGATAGGTGCTTATATTCATTGTCTGGAAGCACCAGAACAGAAATTCCAATCAATAATTCAGGAGATCCAGACAATACCCCCAACAAGTGAAGCAATGCTTTAAATAAAATAAACACTTAAAAAATGTATTTGGGTTGAATCTACTTGACTTCATGGACAACAAGCTGGCCTTGTGATGAGAAGGTTGTTCTGTTCACAAAACGAGACAAAGGTCTGCCACATAGGTGGTTGAGGTGGCAGGGTTGATGGAGGACTGCCTGAGCAAACAACGCTGGAAAAAGAAAGTCTGAAGTCCTGTTTTTATACCTTAGCACAGTAATGGCAGGATCTGGGCTACTGTCGTTTTCCTACACTTTCTTTAAAGGGTCCTTTATAGTGGCCCTCAGTCCAATAGAGTATCCCTGGGTGAAGAGGCCACACACATTGCTTCACAACAGGACTCTTAGGGGCCAGACCTGGATTTCGGTAGGGACGGTGTTTTTCAGAACTGGGCTGTTTGCCGAAATGTCCTGAGTAATAACCCAAAGTGTCAAGACAAAATGATCCAGATCCATTAACCTTATAGCTCTTAGCAACAGCAATACATTCAACTTCAGTTCCATACCCTTTTCATTCTATTTATTTATAATTTCAGTGTATAAAACAAGGCGTCAGAAAAGACTGTCAATTACAAACATTGGTTAGAAATATTGGGCCAAAATTAATATACATATTTTGGAAAAAAATACACAAAACACTTAATCCCATGGCATGTTATAACTTATTTTACAAGATTAGCCATACTGTATGTACAAGGTAGATTGGGCTGTGAACACCAGGAACCACTGTGTGTTCCTTAATTAACAAATGATACAATGAGGTTAGAAATATAAATCTCATTTAATGGTAAACAGTAAACATAACACAATAAAAAAAAAATCTTTCACGGTGAAAACATTTAGCTGCTAGTTGTTAAATAAGCCAGTCAGTCAATACAGTGTTCTTCAGCTCTTTTGACTTTGAATATGTTTACATGCAGGTTTGAATGCGAACATACTTTTCATAAATAAGGTGCTCTGTCTACACAGAAGTAATTGTCATTCCTGGCCTTTATTATTGTCAGCTATCCAGCTTCAAAGCACATCAGTTTCAATGCTGTAGCATTATGTCATGTTCAGGAATGAAATTATGTTTCATGTCAGGATTGATAACTGTATCTTTTACAGTACATAAACTAAGTATTAACAGAAATGTTAATCAAATTATTTAAATTCTGCGTATGATTTATATAAAGCTTCACTAATAGGATACATCTTAATAACAGTTGTAGCACTTAAGCATTAAAGAGACTGGATTATGTTTATTTAATGGCCAGTCTGTATATTTCTATAGCAGTGTTCATGAGAGTTTTACCCACTCTGATCTGTGAACAGGTGATTGGATGGCCTGATAGTGTACATATATGCTGTACAAGGCTTACAAAACCCCTCTGCTTTAAAAGTAAATTAATTTGTGATTTACTAAGAAAGTTATAACTGGTTCACTTTTTAAAATCAGCTATATGACATTGAGCCAGTCACTCACCCTGTGTTAATCCTAGTCCATCAGGAAAATCATTTTCTATTTTTGTGAATTACCACCATTTTGGACACAAAGCTCATTTACACATTGCTACTTACTCAGCTGTGAGTTCATCTAACAGCACACTGTACACTGTTTTCAGCCTGATAATTTTAGTCATTAAGTACCACAATGGTACCATCAGTAACAGATCTTGTTTCTGGAAAAAAAAACTGTAATCAGTAGCCTTTCTCAACTGGCTAAATTCTGTGAACTTTTTACAGTAACCATACATTTCATAGAATTAATATATAATCAGACATTGTGATCTGGGTTAATAAATATAAGTAAGATTCATCAGATGACATTCCTGGTGACTTAAAACCCTTGTTGTTTGATTATATAATGCTCGGCTGTTGGCCCTTGTCTTTTGTGTACTTTTGTGTACAATGGTAAATATTTACAGAACCTGTTCTGACACTTATTAAAGACTAAGAATTTTCTTGAAAATATTTTTTTCTTCCAGCACAGAAATATAGAGCATTTTGGGACACATTTATAAAGATTTTTACATCATGTTGCATTTAGCACAATCGAGTGTCAAGAACAAACAAGTTCTTCTTAACAAAACCTAACCTAAAAGAAATGTTTAAAATAGCTGGAGGCTGTCTGTTTTAGCTTTTCTGTGTCCTATTATTATCAGAAAAATAGGTGTAAAAGCAAAAAGGATGTAAATGATTTACCAACATGGTCTTTATAGTTTACTGTACAACTGACCCTGTACTGTACAGTATGTGCTTATAAATAAGGAGATATAGTATAGTATATACTTGATAGTACAGATTTATTTTAAAAAATCATAAATTAAGTATTGTTACCAGTATCAGCCAGGAACAGAAGTGACTTTTAACGGACGTTCAAATGCTCACAGTTGGTTAAAATGGTGTCAGTTCTATTATTTATCTGAACTTAGTACTAGATGGAAGCATACTTACACTAAATTCACTGCCTGATCAAAACATTAGAGACCATGCTTATAGCATATTGGTCTACCTCCAGCATGTTTACAGCACTCATTCTGATAACCATTCAAAGATATCCTTTTGAGTAAGAGTCGTCTCTTCCTTTGTAAATTTGTCTCTTCCTTTGTTTCAGTAGCTTCTTGTAGGTACTATAGAACTACACTTCCTCATGGCATTTATCTTACAGCCTCTGCCTATGAAACCCTGAAGCATTCTGTAGAGGCACATTAGCCGGGTATGCTGTTACTTTCAGAAATGCACCAGTCACGTGTGCACTAACACTCATGCTGATGTCCTTCACATTAGCCATTTTTTCAAAACCCAAGTAAAATAAAGGAAAAGACTTTTCCGCTACGACTTTTCAGTCCTTAAGAACTGCTGGATTTACTTAAGACCCTACCAATTTTAATGCCATATAAATATAACACAGACCATGAAATTTAATCTTTTTTTTTCCTACACCAAGCTCCAGTGAATTCATATGCTGGTTCCAGGATTCATGTTTTTATGCAATTCATTAAGAAAAAGAGATAATATAATGACAGGGCCCTTTGACGTTTTCAGTCAAGGTATAGTACTTTGCACAATCTGTCATCCTTCAATTCTGCTCATTTTAAGCAGCTGCATCATTAAAGAAGATGAGATTCCTTCAAGAATCAGCTGGATGAGGTTCTTGGATAAACTAGCTACTACTGTAACTACCAAATAGAAACTAGGTGGGACAAATGGTCTCCTCTTACAATAATGCATAAATTAACGATGTTAATTAGCCACTGTCAGGAAGCACAGTGTGATCTTTTGATAGCCAATAATTCCATGTTCCTCTGCATATGAATGACCATTGAAACTAGAGCATTGCTTTCGTTAACTACAGTTTTTTTGCTGCTCTTCAACACAAGTTCATGTTTTATTACAGCACTGTGACATAAAATAACATAATAAATCTGTTAAGATTTATACATCATAAATGTAATGTAGCCATTTTTAAATGACAGCAAAATTGATCACAATAACCCTGAATGTGGTTGGGTCCTAAAACATGCTGTGTGCTCAGCTTTTCTCACCACTTTGGACTGGATGGACCTAATGGTTCTCTGATTATCTGGGAGGGTAATTTATTAGTGAGGCTGTAGAGGTAGTGTAATTCCCTGACATTCTGATTCTGCAGACCCATGTTTCAAATTCTTCTTGCTATGCTGCATGTGAGGTGTTGAAGCCAATTCTCTGATGCTTCAGGGAATGACTGAGTGACCAAATGAGCAAGGTACTGTAAGCCTAACAGCCTCGTTTACAATATTTATTATGTCCTGATCTAAAAGATCTCTGAGCAATTGAACCCTATCTAGTATGCTTCAAATTCTTTTACTTAAAAGCCAAAATAAAGATGAAAACTTTCTTTTAAAGTTAAAAATAAAAGAGTTAAATAAGTGTATATTCAACATATTAGATATTGTTCTCTGCCGCTTTCATAAACTAGTCTGGCATGTCATGTTGAACAGTGCCCATGGGCAAGGTGGCACAGAGCACTTCAGTCGACTGAATTAATTAGCAGCTCAGCACGCTACCCTGTTAAATATATTTTTGTAGCTTTAATTAAAGTATTTATTTTAGTGACTCAGTTTTAGCCCTAAGAGAACACATGCTGTACACATATGTCAAAGACAAAAGTAATTTACTATTGTTTCTTCTGAACTGCTATCCTTTACAGTCCTTTTTTAAGTCCATTGTGCAATTCATCCATTGAATAAAGTTAAATACACGTTTTAACGGAAAGGAATGGATCACTTTTGTTAAAAAATAATATTTGCTTTAAATGTTTACATACTGTATCATCTTACAAAAGAGGCAACTTTAGGATTAGAGGATGAGATGACACATACAAAAGCTCAAGATTCTTTTCAAGCTTGAATTGGCATACCCTCTCAATTTCTATGTACTGTAGCTGAGAAGGGAAAGGTGAAATTCTGGACCATTCAACCTATACTAAGCACAGTAGAATAGCAAGTGAACGCTTTGGTCTTAGCAGGAGAGTCAATAGAAAAGTCCTGACAGAGCCCCAAAAACTTCAGCTAGGGAACAAACTGTATAAAAGAGATGGGATTCAGTACAGAAAGTAAAAATCACCACTGATACCCCCTCCAGAGTTAGAAGTGTGATGTCACTCAGTGCATTGAATCCAGTACTTGTCTGACACAGGAAAAAAGTATGGGATGGATTCTTTCGGAGCTCGCTAAAAAGGTTTCATCTATCTGGCAGAATACCTTTCAATGAGGAACTATCAGAAGAACACATTTTCAGTCTTTTCGCATTTAAGTGCCAACATTTTCAAAAGAAAACACAATTCTACAAGGAACTAGGGCAGCAGTGACTCACATAAGAAAAATTAATGCGTCCTTAAAATGAAGGCTTTTTTTTTTGTTCCTGATCTGCAAGCACACATTCGGTGGTCTACACCCAATGTAGCATTTTAGGAAAATCCCTGTATTTCAAATCATGACAGCTCTGGTCATGTTATAGCATGATACAGAACTGTGTAAGTGCTTGTGTTGACGTATTGCCAAAAACAGGAGGGTGGGGGGTACATTCTATCTCCCATCGTCAGAAATTTAATCTCCCTTTTCTCTGTTTTGACAGTGTCTTTCAGGTCACATGGGGCATCCTCTCAATCTGCTGCCCAAACTCTGGATACTCCATGCTTTTAGGGATCCCCTCCTTACTGGTCTGTTCTAAGGAAGTGGGTTGAGGCAGAACTTCTAATGAATAAGCCTTTGCAATTATACTCATACAGAGGACATTTAATGCTGCCACAGGCAGGACAGCTGTTTTGCAGTGGGGGTATCCTGGGGCTTTTCAGCCAGTTCAGCGCGCCGGTGACCCCTTGTCTCAGTCCAGCATGGCGTCCAATTGATCAGCGAGGTCATCAAACATGTTTCCAATGTCATCTAGAATGTTCCCGGCTGACCTGACTGTGCTGGTGCCACTAAAATATAGAAAAAAAACTCAGGTAAACATTTCTAGTGGTTGTGCCAAAGATAACTACAGGTACATTCAGCAGGCAGAGATATTTTAATGAGGAATTATTGTACATCTACTGTACTAACTGTGGGTGTATACACAATACAGCAGCTCATTTTTAGACCGATGAGACTGCAGGTGAAATGTTCCCTGCAGTACATCCATCTCAGAGACAGGTGTAGTTTTATAGATCCTGACAACAAAGTCTTTGACATGCTTACCCACATTAATATTAAATAGTCCATTGAATGATTGTGATTTGTTGAACATGAACTGCCAAAGAAATACAGGCAGTTCCTACAGAGGCTGTTGAATCGCTGAGGGATTCTTAGAATCTGTATTATAAATACAGAGCAAAAAGTGCAATCTGATTAAATGAACTGTGCCTGTACAGACTGATTTAGTTGTACAGACATTTTGTACATTTCTAACTACTGTTCAGTCACTCCTCAGTAAGATTAAACAGTGTTTATTGAGACCTGGAACGCAGCAGTCTTGTACATTTGTATGGTCTTGTTGTATCTAATAGCACACAGCATAGGTATACACATAGCATAGCTGGCCTTCGTGCTATATATACTGTAATGCCAGTCCAGTTTAGACCCAATTTGTTTACTATGCTTAAAATGGATTGTGGGGATATGAATGGAGTTGGGCCATATAGATATGCATTCATGTCAGAAAGTGACTTTTTGAACTTTGATTCACTTGACACCTTCATACTTGTTGGTTGTAGATATTGAACTAGCACAAGAAAGGACACTGAATTTGAGAGACAAGCGTTTATTTTTACAAAGCCATTTTGCTAATATGACTTTCTGCAATACATTATATAGGCCCCTTATGTTTGATATTTTGTTAGAATAATTGTATTTGCTTGAATAATCGCATCCCATATTGCTGGAATCTTTTTGTTAAGTAAGGCAACGATACTGCATCTTTTCACCTGGAACAAAAAATAATAAGGATTTCTGTATCCCATGGATAAAACTCAGATGGGCAGCATTATGTAGTAACTGCAGTACACACGGCATAGTTCTCAGTGCAGTACAGGGAAAGTGCGTTTGTTCTCATTACCCATCAGTGTTGTCCTCCAGGGTGAGTTTTCTCTCCACAGCCTTCAGCGCTGCTTCAAGAGATGTACTGGTTTGTTCCAGCCGCCGCTGCACCAAGACAGAGCCCGGAGCTGGGCCCAACAGACAGGTCTGGGGCTTTCCTGCTTTTAGTTGCTGACTCTGGGGTACCATGTGTGGTTGAAGGCTGCTGGTAGGGGTCTGTACTGGCGATCGTGGGCTGCAGGCTGTGGGAGCTGCAAAGGCCAGGCTCTGGACAACATTGAGGGTTACTGCATGGGTCCCAGCTTCTGCAAAGAGGAGTAGAGGCATGTCTATCACTGCTGCTGCTAAATGTAGCTATAAAAATCCATAATGTAGGGATGGAAAAAAGACTCCTACTGCACAGCTATCAAAACAATTTCTGGCTTTATGAGCTACAAAAGCACCAAAACAACCTTTGTGTGATTTTTGATCTCATTCTGAGAAAGTGAGAGTCTAGACTTAACCAGAAATCTTTATGAGATACAAGGCTTTATTGGTTTGTTTGTTTTATTGAAGCAGGTGTAAAGTCAGCATGGTGGCTGAACAAGAAAGAACATTGCTCCAGGCATGAAAGTAGCCGGGGAAGTACCTGAGGTTGCTAGGGTGCTGTGTCGAGTGTAGCTGCTGTCTGCCACTGGTTTCTGAGGGCTGGCCGGTTTGGGGGAAAGAGGTGGCTTCTGTGGCTTCCCTGGTGTGCCCTTTTCAAGGCACTGCAAGCTCTTTTCGATCTCCGCGATGCGGAAGCCCACGTCGTCATCATCCTCAAAATCTCGCTTATTCCCAGAGTCTGCACCTCCTGAGGCAGGCACAATGTTGACGGCTTGTGCCTCGGCATAGCGGGGCCCAATGGGAGCAGAGGCAGCCTCCTCCCTGCTCTCAGTGGGCGGTTGATGCTGCTGCTCCTTGGGCTTGTGTCTCCGCTTCACAGTGTCCGACTCCTTTAAGTTGAACTCTGGCACCTCCAGGGTCTTAGGAGCACGGGCCTTCTCTGCTGCTTCAGCAGTGGATTCGGGTTTAAGAGGTCCACCTGTCTTGGGCCTCTGCTTGATAGTGAGGTTCCCTTCTTCAGCGAAAGGTATGCACTCGCTCGAGCTGTTGTGGGGCGAAGAGGAGCTGTCCAGGGATGGCTTGCACTTATTCTCATCCTCTGTGTCAGATTTCGCATCACCATCCATGTCAACTTTGTCTGTCTCTGAGACCCCTGGCTCACTGAGTGTCCTTCTTCTACTCCCTACATGCTCTCTGGTGGCCTGCGGCAAGGCTGGCTTAGGTAGAGGCAAGCTCCCGGGTTCAGCAGGGCTGGCTGGGTCCTGGAGGGACCTGTCAATCTTTCGGAAGTGAACGTCATTGACAGCCTTTCCAACTGGACAGCTCCCCGAGACTTCCAGCATGGCGGTGATCGTTCTCACACTGCCCACGCTCTCCGTCTCCACGCCGCCGGGTGTCATGGCATCCGCTAGCTCGGAGGTGACAACACCGCTCACGGAGCTCAGCCTTTTTGGCGGGGGCGGAGGCGGGCCTTTCCTACGGGCCCGGATGGCGAAGGACTGGCTGCGGTTGACGTTGCGCTCAGGGCCGGCCTGCAGGTGCACAAGCTGGCTGCGCCCGGGGCGGCGGGTCAAGGTTGCGTAAGAGGCCAGGTTTCCTGTGGGAGCCATCTCTTCCTCGTCCGGCTCTCCGTCTGACAGGGCATAGCGAGTCAGACTCTGCGAGCGCTTCTTGGGCTTGAAGAGATCTCCATTCAGGGGAGCCCCACGCTGGCTAAGCAGAGGCACGGCGCCTGCTAGAGGCTTGGTGAAAGGGCTGCGGTCCAGGTCTGTGCTGCCACAGTGGGAGTGAAGATAGGTGAAGGCCTTCTGGGCTGGAGATCCCTGGGGTGATCCTTGGAAAGGCAGGACTGGAGAGGCATTGGGCTTGGCTTTCACTGGAACAGGAGGGTACACAAAACCCCCTGGCACTTTCCCCGGGGTATGTGGTGGAGTAATGCTAGTAGGGTTCTGCTGGAGCAGGGCCATTTTGGACGGTACCCCCACCTTGGAGGACAGAAGAGGGCGCTGGTCCCGTCCCTCTGGAATGTTGCGCTCCTTCGCGGGGCTACCCCCAGCTCTCCCATTGGTCCCCTCCAGGCGGAAAGTGTCCTGATTCGTCCGGGACCGGCCCCCACTGCTACCACTGCTGCTGTCCCCGCTGCCCAGACTCTCCTGCGAGCGGCTGGAAGGGGCAGAGCGTGCCAGCGGATGTTCCTGGGAGTGCCCAGAGCCACGTGAGCGGGTGCCAATGCTCTCCTGGCTGCAGGAGATACCAGCAACACTCTTGATGACCAGCCCATCCTGGCAGCCACTGTAGGTATTGGACATGGCGCTCTGCAGCTCCGCACTCAGCTCGCTGTCCTGAAAAGTCAGCATCTTTTGCGTGTGGGGGGAAGGGCAGTCCCCACCCTCTAGTGGCTCAATGGTCACAAGCTCCAAGGCACCAGGCAGCTTGCGTCGCAAGGTCCTGCTTCCTGCCTCTGCCAGGTTCTGTGCCTTCTGGATATCACACAGCTTCTTTACTGCCAGCATCATCTTCTTCTGATGGCCTGATGGGATGGACACAGGGAAGCTTTATTTAAACACAAGGAACTCCAAATTCTGAAAGGCAAAACTCAAAGCTGTAATCACAGATGAATATACATCGCATTGTGGCCCTAGACACTGACAGATGCATAGCCAGTGTAATATATTATAATGTTCATTGGAGACAGAACAACCATGAAAACCTCCCACAGTACCATGAACAAATGTTCTACTATCAAAGCATTGCCATAGTAACATTTTTTAATGATCTTGATCAGTAAATACAGTTATAATAATTGAGTACAGGGATGCAAAAATACTTCATTCTTCCTATAGTCTTCCTGTTATGGTGCATAAAAGACTTCAATACACAATGTGCTTTATATAAAATGTTTTACCGGACAAAAACACTTGGACGATCTGAACAGGTATGACTATATTTTGGCTCAAATGTAGCGCTATTCTTATGCTAACTAGGAAAGTGCTCTTTCATGATCCCAGGCTTTTCTCATGGTAATACCATGTGTTCTTAAGAGTTTCCCAGCTCTCCGTGCTTTTTCATACTGTCCTGTGATTTCCTGTGATGTCCTGTGCTTGACTAGTTTACTGTAGCACACTTTCTGTGCTACAAAGCAGGAAAGATCTACAGTACAAATGTCACCCCTCTTCTCATGTTACCCAGCTTGGTGATGCCAATCTCCTGCAGGTCCTCCCAGGTGATGTCCCGGACAATGCTTATGGAGTCGTAGCCATTCTCCGACAGCTTCTTGTGGTACTGGGGCAGCCCGATGGCACTCAGCCACTCGCCCAGGTCACTCTGTGACAGGCAGGGAGCAGGGATTAAGGGGGATTGTAAATGTAATGTAAAACATATACCAGAGAACACTACTAGAAATGCTTTCATTAGCTTTACACAAAGGGTTTGGGAGTGTGGAACAAGCAGCCATGCCATGTTGTCGAAAATGACACCTTAACTTCATTGAGCAACAGCTGGATGAGATGCTTGGATCAACTACTGGAATTAAATACTGTACGAACTATCAAATTGGCTACATGGGCACAATGAGGTCCTCTCAATCGGACCTCATGCTGTAGAACGCGGTTCCATACCACACAGTTTGACACTCAGTTTCACACCTGACACTTCAGAAACCGAGAATGCGGGGAAGAAGAACCATCACTCCACCCTATCTTATTAAACTTTTAGGACCAGGATGGGCTCTAGTCCTCGAAACACCTGGTTATGTCCTGCAAAGTATACAGGAACTTTTTCAATCGGCAAAGACTTCAGAAACTGCCTGATCTGATCCAAACACATTATTTGATTATATAATTAAGGGTGTATGTAAAATAAAATCCAGAGGATGCTACAACAGCAAAGCAACAGTCATCCATCCTTGCATCCCCAAATGCATCCCTAGATGTTGGCACTATATTTTATGGATGAGAAAAAAGCTAAAAAGTCATGACTACTTTCTTCTTTGTTTTGTGAAAGATTTAAAATCTCATGTAAAAAAACTGTCCTTCCTATTGCTCAATATATTGTTACTTTGTAATTGCTTTTTTACGGCACTTTGCAGTACGACTAAGGATCCCAGACAGATCACAATAGTGTTCAGCTGCCAGCTGGGCACAGGTGTGTTGCCACTCATGAGCAGTACTGTAGTGACAGCAGGTGCCATGTAAGAGGAAGACAGTAAAGGAAAGTCCTGAAAAGGTAATGGCCTGGGAAGAACATCTTTAACTCTACTGCAAACAGTGCCAAGAAAAAGCTTGTGAACCCCAGATATAACTGTTAGATAACTAAATTTGAGTTCTTCCTCAAACCTGATGTGAGAGACTGATCAACAGTTACCTGCAGTTTATCTGCAGTCACTGCTGCTCAAGGGGGAGCCTCCAGTTGCTGAATCTAGAGGTTCACATTCTTTGTCACACATGGATACTGGAGGTTGCATCATTTGAGGATAAATATTGTTGAAAGAGAGTCACGTTTTGTGTCATTAGTTTCATCAGAATATCTTTATCTATTAATAGGACTAACGATTAAGATCTAGTAATCTAGTAAATAATTGCTTCATTTTCAGATGAACGGGAAGAACAGGAGATTTCTTCAGACCGCCTTAACATAAAGTAGTGCTTTAGCAGTAAATGTGGTTTAAATGCACATGCTGACGTGATCTAAGAGCTCAGGGTACAGAATGGTGAATCAAAATTCAGCCAAAGAGCTACATTGATAAACTTTCATTCATCATATCTATCTATAGCCTTCAGCATACCTCCCACTCCACCAAATCCTTGCTTTTTTAACTACTAATGACATTTCTAAGACTCAATGATCTTGAACTTACTGGAATATAGTCTGGCAGCCACTCCGGTATGTTCAGGTTACTGATTTCAATGGAGATTTTCTTCCGGTGGCCTGGCTTGGTCACTCCAATGGCAGTCAAGTCCTAGACAGAAAATCAGACACCATCCGTTAACACACAGGGGATGCATTTTTAAAGTGCCATACAGAGAAAAGTCAGCCTGTGCATAAGTTCAATTAACTTTTTTCAACTCTACTTGAACACACATAGCACAGTCCTATAGGACCAGGAATAACTTGTATTCTATTGACTGTGTCCACAGTCACTGCCAGTTTATCTTGGGCAGTATGGTCTGGCTTCCTTGCTCACCTCAGGGGTCATGCGACTGATCGTGGGCACATCGTACCCGGCGTTGAGGAAGTTGGCAGTGTACTGCTCCAGCTGGAACTCGCTCAGCCACTGGTAGATCGCCTCGGCATCCTGCAGGGAAAGGACAGGAACAGAGGCAATGAAGGGCTGGCAGAACCCTCAAAGACTAGGAGCAATAGCCTCTGCCAGCGAGTTCTCTCCATGCTCGGACAAGATATACCCACAGGTACTACAGGCTTGCGTGTGAAAATAAGCAGGAGGCATGAAAGTTCACAGTGTGGATGGCGTAAGCATAGTCATTATGTAGATGTAGAGGCACACTTCGACAGTATATGAATGATAAGAAAAGGAAAAGTGCTTTGGCGCTGCTCCTCACCTTGCCCTCCAGGAGCTGCTCTGGCCGGATGAACAGGGACGAGAAGCTCTGCTCCCCGGAACGCAAGCTGTTCTGACTCTGCCGTCGCAACCCCCCTGAAATCACAGGACCCACAGTTCATTACAGGACGATCACCCCAAAGGACATCGAGCCAAAAGACATTAACTTTCTGGCAGATAACCGTAGAATGTCCAGATTCACTGCCAGTGAATTCACTGCTTAAGTTATGTCATTCAACCTGTGCCAATGCCACTTCGCAACCGAGGCTGACCGAAGACTCACAAAGTTCCTCGGATTTCAGAATCTTGCTGTGCCACTCGCAGTATGAGTGTTCTGTGCAGTGTTTCACCCCACCATGGTTTCCTAATGGATCTTGTTATGTGTCTCTCTAGGGTTCAAAATGTTTCTTTGAAGGATTACAAGAGGATTGTTCAATTCTCAGAAAATCCAAAGTTGTAAAGTAACAAAACAATAGGAAGGCACGGTGGCACAGTGGTTAGCATTGTTGCATATCTGCCTGGGTTCAATTCCTGTGGCGCTATCTGTGAGAAGTTTGCATGTTCTCCACATGTTTTATTGTGTTTCGTGGGTTTCCTCAAGGTGCCCCAGTTTCCTTCCACAGTCCAAAGGCATCCTGGTACGTTAACTGGCTTCTGGGAAAATTGGCCCTGGTGTGAGTGTTATTTGTGTGATTGGCATCCCGTCCAGGGTGTACTCTGCCTTGTGCCTGCTGCTTGCCAGACTGTGGCTGGCCTGCAACTCTGTATTGAATAAAGCAGTTAGAAAATGGATGGATGGAAATAAAACAACATGAAAATAGTCAGCCTGAGCTCGGATGGATTGGAGCCTCAACAAAAACCTTCATTCAACCATCATATATTGCTCAGCTCTTAAACTTGGAGGAAGCAAAGGAGTTTGACCATTTAGTTAATCATGTGCTCGGACTGATTGACAATACTAGTTGTAGCACAATAACAGAGTCATCATTTCTGGTTTGTGCCCTCTTAGTACACTGAGTGGCAAGCTACAGTAGGTGCCTTCAACTACACTTTCCTTTATATATTCCCTTAAATGTTACTTGAATTTAAAGGTCAAAGACTGACAAGAGTTCTGTTTCATGACTATGGCTAACATCTGGTACAAGCATAATGAACAAACAGTCACTTCTGAGGTGCCTTCAGTCATGGGAAAGGTTGCAATGTTGACTTTCAGAACTCCCCTGGTTAGAGCCAGCATCTTAGATAAGATGCACATCCAGCACACTTTGTAGTAATGGATATTCGGTCCCTAACGACTGCAAGAGCATCTCACCTGAGGAGATAACAGGCCGGTTATACAGTCCTTCATCATACATTTGTCTTTAGCTTTCCCCTTAAGTGTTCAAAGAGTTTAAGGCTGTTGCACAGAGTAGTTGAACAATATTTTAGATGAGGGAAAATGTATTTAATTTACTACTTATTGTAGGTATTGCAATAACTATTTTGTGTAACTGGTGCCTTGACTTACTGTAAGTTGGGTAAGTACAGGTAGGAAAGCCTTAGATTTAATGAATTTAGTATCACAGTGTAACTATTCTTATAGGCACAATATTTTACATAGTATTTCCACCGAGGAAGATCCAGGGAATTGCCACATTCTGTTTGTGTGACTTTTGGTCTGTACTACAGATCAACAGGGGTTGATACAGGGGGTATAATACAGCTCACCAGGAATGCCTGGCCATACTGTAGACAGGACCTTTACAGCAACAGCTTGTATATCTTCAATAAGATACAAATGTGTCTCCATAAACTGGACAGAGCTGTAATTAGTTTTCCCCATTTATGAAAAATGTCTTACAACAGAACAATTATGGTTGAAAACAGGAAAGTATTTAAATAGGTTTCATATGTGTGGTTAATTCAACTTTGCAAGAATAAAAGAGCAGAATATGCTTTATTCTGAAGGGAAACAAGATAGCTAGAAACAAAAGAATTGACCTCGGCCCTATCTTCAGAGGGGATGAAAGCTCAATTCCTGGGATAGCTACTCATTTAAAGTTTTAATGAATGTACATCTCTCTTCCCTCCCTCAATGGAAACGTTAATCATTTCACTTTGATTCTGTGTATAAAGAGATCCAGAAAACAGTAAGAGAGACCTGGTCCACAGGAATGTGCCGTAACTACCTGAGGCTGTGTTTTCCGTTGTAAACATGTCAGGTTTTCTGAACTTTCGCCATGGTAACAAATTGTCTCCACCTTCATAGGAAAACAACTTTGCAGACAGGAATGAGGAGCCCAAGGCACAGACTGTCAACACCAAACATGACTTTGTGTTTCTTCATCCACAATAACACAATCTGGCCATCCTGCACAGAGAAGCCCACAGACACAGACTGTTCTCACTTCTGAACGTCATAGACTGGCTAGGTTAATAGTTTGCAGGCTGTGTTGCGCATATCATGAAAAAATACATTAAGTATTTTGCACTGCAGATCTGGAAAATAAGTTGAGGATATACAAACGATTGTACATTTCAATTTTTCAATTTTACTTCGATACTGAATGGAATATAAATATTTTTTGTCATTTTTCCCCTTAAATGCATCTATGAACTAGCTCTTGGTAAAGAGTTACTACAGTATATTACCACATCCTATACTAACATTTCCCTAAGATGCATGAATGTGGAATAATTAATATGGACCACAACATGGGAAAAAAATCTAAAAAAGTTATCAGGAATCATGTGCAGCAGCAGAAACAAGAACCCTTTTTCATCAATTATGGGATGACGTCATCTTGAAGGCTCCCATAAAGACATTTGCTATCTTCTAGTAGTAGTATCTACTGCTTCCACCTTCCTGTCTTTCTTAAGGGAACCCTGTTGGTTCGGGTTCAGAATTTCATCACTTCCTGATGCGACTGGTTTAACATACTAGCCACCTCCCTGACACACTCAGGGTAGAAGGAAATTTTATGTTCAGTTTAAATATTTCCGCACTAAAACAATACCTTGTTTACACATATTGTAGGCAAACAGACGTACTGTAAACAAACGGACCTGTGCCACGTTCTGCAATGTGGGAAGAAATCGATGTGATAATGACAGACTGTTCTCAGAGATCGGTGGTATATGAACTTCGTTTTAGCCAAAAGATGACCCAAAAACAAAATGAACATTTCCAAAAGAGGGAAGTAGGGATCAGAGGGGAATGCTGTCTCTTCAGTGTCACAAGTGTTGAATCACAGTACAGTCAGCAAGGGAACTCATGATAAATACTGTAGGACAGTCTTTCAGGTACACTGTTTGTAACAGTTGTTCTCAATCCTGGTCATGGGTAACCCCCGCGTCTGCTGGTTTTTGAACCACCCCAAAACTTTAGCATGGGCTAATTAGAAGAGATAGTCTGATAGTGTTACTCCCACTGGTCTATTCATCATCAATTGATCACCAGTTAAAAGCTGTTTAGCAGGAAATAAGGGAGCCAATTCTCAATTTGTAAGCTGAGGAGAGACTGTATAGAGTTCAGTGTGCTGGAAGTTTTTAAATTGATGCACTTTAATTAGGGGATTTTTTTTACCAAAGAGAGTGCAGAACACAAGTCTAAATTCACAAGCATATCAGTTACCGTAAACATAGCACTGGTGATTAAGGGCCTATTTGGAATAAAAACCAGCAGACACAGGGGTCCTCTCGGATTGAGAGGCACTGGATTACAGAAACGAAAGTTGCCAATTGCTATGTTGTGAAAGGAAAGTGTGTTAAATAACAACAAACTTGCAGATTATATCCTGAAAACACCATGCAGGATTTCACAAAACAAGTGCAACAATCAGGCAAAGTTAAATTGAGTCTAACAAGACCCCCTTAATGGGCAAAAGCTAGATTTAGTTAAATACATCTATTAAAGTACTCACTGTACTTTCAGTAAACTGGTAAACTCATGAAGTTGAGGCTGAGCTGTTTTTTACCCTTTGTCATGATAACCATAACGAGAAACAGGACTGAAAACAAACAGCATCACAATCTGTATGCAGCAACAGACCTGCCTCTTAGTAGCTGACAGCTCATCACAATAAGAACAAAAACCTCTAAAAAACCCGAAGAAGCCATCTAGGGAAGAAATGGAAGGGACAGTTAAGAGTCTTACCATTCCTAAAAAATGCCACACGCATCCCGACTGCCCCAGTGATTAATATCCCAGCCTACAAATGTCTTGGATGACTACAGTATACCTGGAAGACTTGTGCTCAGAACGGCACCCTCTCTCCTTCTCTGAAGCTGGGCTGGAAACCCGACACTGTATTTGTCTGAGCAGCCCAAAACAACTCTCCCACACAGCCCCGGCCTACGAGGTGGTCTTAAAGAGCCTACTTCACTGGACTTTCTTAAAGGGGTGGCATGAATTTCACATTTTTCTTTACTTTCCTGTTCATCAAGAAGTTAAGTACTGTCATTCTAAAGTCTTAGCTCTTTGCAGTATAATTATTCCATGGCTGTCTAGCCGGTCAGATCTGATTTCATTGTGGTCTGTATTTTAGATATTACGTGGTCTGAACACAATTGAACTGAATTTGTTTTAATGAGACAGGGTAAGAAACACTGCAGATTAAAAGGAAATTCTGCACCAAAAATAATCAAATCTAGTTGCAAACAGCAGTTACTGGTGGGAAAATCAATATTGATGCATCTTTTGACTGTAACAATTTAGCATTTTACCTTCAAAAAGTCAAAGGCAATAAATAAGAACCTTTTCATGGTAAATGAAAAGGCATCGCATCCTGGCAAAATTTCCCATTGGCTCTTATCAATCATGGACTCCTAATAATCCTCATCTATGAATTGTCTTCTTTACTCTGCTCTCTTCCCCACTAATAGCTGATGTGTGCTGAGCGCTCTGATGCACTATGGCTGCCGTCACATCATCCAGGTGGGGCTGCACGCTGCTGGTGGTGGAGGGGAGTCCCCATTACCTGTAAAGCACTTTGAGTGGAGTGTCCAGAATAGCGCTATTTAAGTGTAAGCAATTATTATTATTATTATTATTATTAAACATATGATTCCCTATAGGTGTTCTATTATAACCATATATTCCTATCTCTGGTCTATAAAGAATTACAAGAAGAGTTTTTCAAGGGCTGTTTTGCTTAAGCACATAAGGGTTCCTATGTGTGTTTCACAGTAACCTTTATCCTGTCTTTTTATGGAGTTTAAGCTCATTTTTCACAAGGACGGGTGACAGGCTTTATACAGTATGGCTGCAAAACCACATGACCAATCAGCTGCTGCTGTGGACTACAATCCTTACAAACTACTATCCACATCACATTACTTTCAATAACTGCTTATCCAGTTCAGGGTCAAGGTGGCCTGGGAAGCACTGGGCACAGTGCAGGATACACCCTTAATGGACACTAGTCCATTGCAGAGCACACAGAGACAAACACACACACCACACACACACACTCTGACAACAGGGCCAATTTTCCTGTAAGCCAATTCGACTACTAATCCTATTAATAAATCTGCAATATTCTATTAAAGATGTATGTCACAACAAATGCAAAGATATGTATATTATACACACTTGGAATTCCACTGGCTTCCGATGGTTTTAATTTGGAATAATTTGAGAGAAAACCTGTTTTACATTTTATTTTGTTCCAATCTGCCAAGAACAATCAGAAAACAAATGCCCACAATGAGCCAATAATTTATGTTTCTGGATTTAGGATAAATGGTAACATTCATTCTCACTCTCCAGAGGCGAGAGTGCACAGCTGACTTTTTTAAATTCAGGACAATATTGGACAGCCCCGGCCAGTTTTTCTCTTGGCTGCTGACTATTCACAGAAAAAAAAACCTTTTTATGCGTACCTGTATTTAAACAAAAAAGGATTGGTTACCTGATGGCTGCTCCCCCTGTTTTGCCATGTCAGAACCAGCACTGATTTGTTGCACTTGGTCTCCAACAGAGGGCGCTGGCTGCATTGAAAAAAAAAGTACAATTTTTTTTAGAACAGCAGGGATAAACCTTCAGCTTTCCATCTTGATGTTTGCTATCAGCAACCAATAAAATGTCATGTTTTCTGTCTGAAATAGTACAAAAGATAATTCTGAAATTAATTTCAAAACTTTAAAAATGAACTAATCTTTATTACAATATAAGTGCCGGTGAAACAATACCGTGACCTTTGGCTATGTGCTGCAAAGTAACTATTTTTGATCACAGCAAATGTGGACTGAGAGCTTTATAGGAAATCCCTCCACGGGCACTAATTTCACAAGCTAGTTAGCACTCAATGGGGATCAGTGACACTACACTACAGCTATACCCTTAAATATTGAGCAGAAGTCATTAAATAAAGGCGGTCATAAACCAGTTTATGCACACTAACAGAGCAGATGCATCATCTGCCTTCAAGCTGCCCCAATCAAACAGCCCCTAGTTTTAATGGTGTAGGGGCTCACTTAAGCTTTATAGCCTGTTAGCTGATCTAATCACTTCCATTTATCAGGGAGAGACAGCTGGGTGCTGGAGGAATCATGTACACCAGATAACCGCATTACAATGAAAGGGAAACTGGCATCTTTATAATCAAGGTCAAATAGAAACATTTAAAATGCTACTCCCACTGGTTTTTGAAGAGATGGCTTCCTAAACATCACTCAGAAGCACATAACAACGACATAACGACGCTAAAGACTGACGAGAGGACCTGATACAAGCATTCACAATCCTCAAAGGTACTGACAGTCAACGCAGCAGGAAGAACAGTGACACAGAAATCGGAGGACAGATGCAGAAATTACACTGAAGTACATTTAAAATTGAAAACAGGAAGCAATTCTTTACTCGAAAGAATAAGTCCAAAAGACAGCTAGATGAGATCGTTGGATCAATTTTATACTAACCACCAAACAGACTAGAGGAGCCAAATGGCATCCTCCTGTTTGTTTTTATTTTTATGGAACCACCCCCCAAAAAAGGGAAATCATCAGTACATCACCGATTCAGTCTAGTGACCTGGCTGTTTGAGTGCAATTAACACGAGTGATAAGCCACTAGGCCTGCACTGTGCTCCGACGCTCTCGTTTAAAGCACCAAAATAGACCCTATGAGGATGAACTATTTCCAATCAGTGAAACTATGAGGATGAACTATTCCCTTAGTCTCCAGCATTCGGTGGTGCTCCCTCACCTTGGCACCATCCGCGAGGCCCCCAGGCGCCTGGCCGTTGTTGCTGTCCGTGCTCTGCCCGCTGCCCGCGCTCCGGGTACTGCCCACGCTGCCTGTGCTGCCCACGCTGTTCCGGTCTCCGGCTAACAGGTAGAGGAAAGAGGAGAAGGCTGAGACACATGCTGGCCAGGCCGGGCTCCCTCACAAGCACTGCGAGGGATTCGGTCAACATGCCTCGAAGCCGGAACAACGCTTAAATAATATCCAGCCACACCTTGCAGGACAGAAAATGCACTTCACCACGCACCCTTCAATCACCAGCTTCAGAAACAGTTATGTAAACCTAATAGCCATTGACTGCTGAAAGTTGTATTTTATATTTTGTAAATTGTATATTGTTTTCGATACTGTACTGTATGTTGTAGTGCATTGTATACCACATACTACAAAGACACTTTTTGCACCACTCAATCACCGTTTTTATGGAGTGTTGTCTTCACCTATCTGTACACTGAGTGAACAAGCACGGATAGGAATTCCAATGTACTTGTACCTTGAACTGAACTTCACTTCCAATGTGCCATTTGCCCTGTGACAAGTCTAAGGCCAAACCGTGATCTCTGTAAACCAGGTGGATCAAAGTTACCCTGACACCTTGAAGCAGCTGGCAGTCAAGCCCGGCCCCACAATGGCCAGGACACATAGCTTCCCTTACGCCTTATAAAAATGATACTGCTTTTTCAAGAGGAGTCAAGGAAGCAGCATTGTGGACTGAAAGTAGCAGCCAAAAACATTCAAAGCCTTTTTGATGTTTTGGCGTTTTTACTTATTGCATTTCTTTGTGGATTTTTCAGTTACTCGGAGGAGAGCACAACCTGACCTCATCCTCAGTGTGTGGGAGCACTGCTCCCAACAGCCCTAGGAAGCTCAATCAGAGAACAAATGACCTTGATTTGTCTGCAAAATAATTCTGCTTTTTTGCTAGCAGTTTAATCTTTCCTAGAAGGCCAAGAGTCACTTCTTCCAGAGACACACAGAAGACTTTCTCTGAGTAAGTATTGCTGTCTTGGATAAGCAGCTCTGCCCAACTTATACTGCCTAATGTGTGTTAAATGCAATGCAAAAAAGCAGTTTCTCACCCTCATTAATGAGCTCACCAACCAAACAGGTTTTTAAATATTTAGCAAAGTTCTGAAACTCTTATCGTTTTTGTTAACTGGTGTAGCACAAACAGACTGGATGGCTCAGATGATTTGAGAACAGTACTGATATGACTGTGAGTTTGGGTCTGACTCTTCCCCAGTAATCTAAAGTGGGTCTGGATACACTACTTAATATTTAAGATTTAATTAAATTGTTTTAAAGGAGAGAAGACTACAGCAACTGATTATAAAAGAGGCCAACTTCATTAAACACCCACCTGGGCTATTAACAGATTCCCATAATTGTGGAGTTGGGAAGTAAAATTATTCAGAGCCAGTAGGCAACTTTAATATAAGTAACTACTGTATGAGTCAGCCAATTAATAAGGTACGGTATTGAATTAAAGTCTTACAAGGAAACAGTATGAAATAATAAGGGTCACTTAAACTGGACTACAGGAAGTATTAAGCTAACAGTAACAATAAGCATGGGAGCATATTGATTATAGTATAGTCATATTATAGATTCTGTGACTGTTATGCTTAATTAGTTTTTTCTTGAACACAGTAATGAAATCTGACCACAATCTGGCAAACTTCATTTTATCTGTCACAACACCTCTATGTATCTGACCTGTGATAACCAACCCAAATTCTGCCCAAACAACAGCTTTCATCTTCTTTATTCTGTCATTTCCTTCTGTACATCCTCAATCCTTAGTATGATTCAGTATGGAGTTCAACATTGCTTTTTGGTCTGTTTGCTTTAGAATGCCAAGGCACACTATTATTAAATACACAGAGAAAAGTACATTTATAAACACCAGGTGCTAGCTGACCACACCCTTATCTTGAGTGTTAAATCAGCATATTGGCACTCTTTTGAGAAGACAGTACTTCATTAGTGGTTTACTATTGGCCTTAACATGTTGATCAGCCAATCATGTAGATGCACCAGTCCCATACACCAACACTGTGATCTCCTGTGTCTCCAAGGAGCAGTATAATACCAGGAACATTCTACAGCTTCGCTCCATGGGAGAGAGTGATGTATAGGAAATTGGGGGATAGAGGAGGGGACTACCGCAGGAAAGGAGGGTACAGCAGCAGGCGGGGTAATAACAGCCAGGCTGGGACACTTTAGCGCATGGGGCACCTGAATCTTTCATCCCAGGAAACTCTGAGAAACTGAGAACTTGCCCCTTGCTTATGTACAGTATAAAACAATCCGTATGTACAGTACTGTATAAACAGCTTCCACTAAACTACTGAGACTATAATCAGCATGTGGACATTTTTATTTTCTCCCACAGTTATGAGGCTCCAGAACACAGTACACTTTGCTGTTTTAATATGACAGAAAGGAAGTTAGTTTTAGGTTACTTCGATGACCTATTTCCTATTTAATGAAGTAAATATCTCATGCAAATATAAGTACAGTTAAAGTGAGCGAGAGTGAGTAATGACTTATTGGGTCTCTAACAGGCCTTAGCATGCTGATGAACAGTGGTGCTAAGAGGCAGATCACACTCAGAATATCCTGGGATCTGGGAGCTGGGTGGTACCCTTCAGGAAGCTGAGGTGTCAGGGAGATGCAATTCAGGCAGATCTACCTACCCTGGGGGTGATTTGCACGGCAGCCATGGAAATGGGGGCAGGTAGGGGTGGGGTTGAAGGGCACTGGGAAGTGTCTTACCAATGACTGAGCTCCTCAGGACCCAGACGTCCTCACTGGGACTGGCTGGCTCAGAGAGGAGGAAACTGGGGCTGTCAGGTGGTGTACCTATTGAACACAAAGACTTCATAGACGATGGGCATGGCTGGGGAGGAGGGAGGGGACACAGGGGGCTCAAAAGCGCATGTCCCATGTGGCCACATGCTTTCCTCCTGCACAAAAAGGGGAGGGGCGATGTATTAACCCCTTTCTCCAGTTAAGAATACCAGCTTGCAGGTGTGTCAGTGTGTAAACGGTCTTGCTAGAAACCCAAACATTTCCTTCTCCTGCTTTAATAAAGCTGTTCTGTTTATTTATTTTCTCCTGGACAGCCTGCAGATAAAACTGAGATTTTGAAATCATAAGATGCTTAAGTGCACCATCTTCTAGACACTTTCGGATGGCTATACTGTAAGTCTTTTCTACTTTTGGATGGCTATAGGTTTCTGTACATGGGCAAGCTGCAATAACGGATGTCTGTGTCAGCTCCTTTTTGTGCAAGGTATTTTATTATTGTTTTATAATCCTGCATCAAGGATCCTCCAAAATGTGGTCCTGGAGCGACAGATTCATGAATCCTTTTACTACTCTACTAAACCCTGTGGCACTGTACAGTGCTTGAAAACACGATTAGTGAACAATGTAAAGAACAGAAGCTTTGCAGTAATATAGGACTGGATGCAAGTCTCCTGCTGAAGTCTGCATTCTCCCAAGGACACCCACAGGGTCTTGGTGAAGCCAACTTTGAAGCCCAACCCATAGCAAGTATGCTGTATTGTGATATGATCAAGGTCTACTTCATTTAACCCACACATGAAAGTCTGAATTAGTGATGACCAGGAGTGTAAGGCTGGGCAAACAGATGATTGATTGTTTGTTATAAATCATTAAATACAGTTAGTGAAAGGAGATCAAAGAACAGGGTTGAGTGGTGATGGCACAGATTGCGACAATGATGACAACAGGTACCCCCAAATCCCAAGATGTTATTGATGAGGGTACAGGTAGTTTAAATATGTGATTACTAATGACATAGATAGATAATACTTTATTAATCCCATAGGGAAATTGATGAAGTCTGCATCACATACATAGAGGACTCTCCTGTCACAGTGCCTTGGCTCTACTCATGCTGTAGGAAAAGCATCTGTGCAATTAGTCTTCATGATTAGATGACAAACCAATCAGACCTAAGACACTCAATCTGTGATTATCTCAAAAGCAGTCTGTCAGAGAGCGAGTACTCAAATCTCAAGAGTTGAACTCAAGAGTTGAAAACTACAAAAAAGAGCTGTATATACTTCTTAATAATAGCTCAGAATATTGCATCCATTAGATTTACTATCATAATAAACACTATGCCTTTATCATCACACATAGGAATTGTCTTTCAACTTTACAGTTTATTAAATGTCCATGGTTATTAAGGTTATCTCAAGCACAAAATGTATGATGGTATAATAATACATTTACCTTCTGTTTAGCTGTATTGTGACTATAGCTATTACTAATACCCATTAAGCAGCCAAGATCAATAAGGTCGGCAGCAGATGAGATTAAGCGGCCATTTACACTTAAGCAGTAGAAGATTTCTGTGACCCAGTTCCACAGACACTAATGGAGCACACACTGACAGAAGATGGCACACAAAATCACAGACAGCTTTTCGAATCTTTTCCTTGCAACTCTGAGTGGAGACATAAAAACATGACATGGGCCACATAGCTGCAGAAGCATAAAGGCAATAAAGCTGCTGGAATTTTTACTGCTTCTGAGCTGTAGATGCAATCATGAATGCAGCCTGACCTCAAAGGGGGAAAGATAAGAGATGTTTGGGCTTCAATGAAACCCTGGAGATCTGTACTCTGCTTCCCAAGGGAGGTCAAGGAACAGATTCAAAAGGGGAGGACTGTCATCCTTACAGAAGGACCAGGATATAACCTGGTTTGGAGCTCTAGCTCTAGCTCACACTAACTCAGTCCTTACAAGCTGTACAATGGGAAATGCTGCAGTCCTCATATCACTAGACTGCTGAATTTGCCTCAGTCGCTGCACTGACACAGAACTCAAAGGAACTGAAGTACAGAGGCCTAAAAGAAAAGCTAAGTGAACACAGAGCGGACGATCTTGTGAGTTTCTGTGTGTAAAATATGTAAATAACTTCGCAGACACTGAGTATTTTGTACACATACCGTACTTCATGTCTGTCCAAAACCAAAAGACATTGGTAAAAATAAAGTTTGACGATGCTGAGAAATCTTCAAAGGGAATATCCTTCAAACTCTGCCAAAAGCACTTCTTCTTCACACTCAAGGTGTCTAGAACTCAAGAGTGTCATTCTGCACGTCTTTTCTGTGGGTCTCCCTGTCAGCTCCTGGCCTACCTGTGCTGTCATCCAGGCCGCCAGTGCGAGTGAAGGCCAGGTGAGGGGGGGCTGTGTACAGCGTGTAGGAGTCGTCAGTCTGAGGGGAGGTCAGGCTGGCAGGGGGGGGTCTGGAGAGGAACTGCTGGCGATGGGTGGGCAGGGAGGAGTGGCGGGACAGGGTGCCCCCCGCTGGAGGAAGAAGGAAAAACAGATCAGTGGGAAGCAGGTGTTCAGGAAATGGTGGATCAGAAAATATGCCGGTGGTGATGGAGGGGGACTTGCTAAAGAAATGCAAACTAATTTGTATTCTTCTATGTATGAGATTGCCAGCCCTTTCCATTAGTTTGGAACCACCAACTTTCAACTGACTCAGCTCATTGCAGTGGGCAGACATTTTCCTCACTGCAAGCCCTACTGAACCTACAAAAGCTAATAATAGAATTAAAAGGAGAACCAACACAGCTCTCACTGACAACACTCCAAGTTCATAGACACATGGCACACTGCAGACATCAAAGTTCAGCAGGATACAATGGCCAAGTTATCAGTAATGGCGGTACTCAGCCCAGTGTGCTGCTGCTGCTACTGCTCAGGCAATCTCAATCAGTAGGCTTAGGATATGGCCAGGATTTGAACCTGTGATGAGCTGACTATGAGAGTCAACCTGGGTTGTAAGTGAGCAACTTTACTAGGTAGGACACTCAGGAGACCACCAATGAACAATAATGAATTAAATGTCACCTCTGATGTTAATCTTGCCATTCAAAGTGATATTTCATTTACAGTCTGACCAGATTGTTGGCTGCCTGCTGGACTGCTTATTCACCAAATCACAAGATGTGCATTTTTTTTCAGGGCTTATCATGTTCATTTTTCATTTACATCCAGTCTATATGCCTCCACAGTTGTTAGTGACATTCACTGCTTTAAAGAAGAAGAACTGTAACTCTTCATTGTCACATGAGCTGATTACACAGGTGTTGGGGAAACTACAGAGGTCACCCTGGGAGCTGGGCAACCACTAGTGAGAGAAAACTAGTGAGAGGAAATGGAAGTAGATGTTATATTGATTGTATATGCTTTGGCAACACTGTAATTTACCAGTCATGTCAATAAAGCTGTATGAATTTGAAAACACTGAGGCACAGCAGCTTCCCAATTCAAACTGATAAAGTCAGAAATGAAAACAGCAAGCAGCAACTGGGCTGCAAAACCAGGCAATTTCATAAGTTATTCAGCTTACCAGTTCTGTGTATTAGAACTCATTCATTTCTGTCAGTGAACAAGCATTAACCTTGTTCAAGACTGACTGTGAGAAATCACATTATCATCTAAGGAGATTTAGATGGGGGCACAATGGATAGAAATATTTCTCTTGCTAATAACAGAACAAGAAAATGAAAAGCACAGAGTCATCTTCAGCCCGGCTTTTGGAAAACCTTTCTAAGAGCAGTCAGAGATGCACCACCACTGAATTGTTTCAAACACACATCTGTGAGATATTTTAATACTCATGTAAGCCATTTGATGGGTTTTCTGCTTTCCAAAGCTGTTGTAAAGTATTGCCAGAGGCCTCTTAGCTTTATGGCTACAGGAAATTGCTGCTGTCAATGTTACGACATGTCCCATGACACCAAAAATGATTTGTCTGCTTTTGTGTGTTACTAAAACGGGAAAATATATGGTCCTTTTTAAAGGAAAAAGAACAGGGTGGTGCATTTTCTTAAGCCTCCCAGTGGAGTGAGTTTTATAAGTGATCTTAGTTCCTGACAGCTCCTGTCTCGGCCCTGCTAATCTTATTAGTGCATGAGGGGTGGCGGACTCTCTCTCTATGGAGGGAGCTGTTTATGCATTATGACTCTTGTCCTTACTTTAAAAATCTTATTCCTCTTTGAACAGCTCACAGCCCCTGTCAACACATGGTTATCAGAACCACATTTTATGTTTCTTTTTCTCACAATAAGTCCCATATCTTTTCTTTGTGGCTGCTCACTGCTCATTGATCTGTTGACACTGTTGTTATTCATGCAAACAAACCATAGCAGTTTCAAAAATGATCTCTAAGCTAAAAGAAAGAAAGGAATAGAGGAATCAGTGTTGCAAAGGTGCTCCTCCACTGGACCAAACAAGGTTTTGCAACAACAATATGACTATATGAAAGGTCTTACTGTCACCATACAGTAACTGATTTTAAATTATTATTACTTTCTTCTCAGTTTCCTTGTTTCCTTCACTGTTTTGTTTTGGCAAATATGGTTTTGCGATATTTTTGAAACACAGAGAAGCAGACTTCCACCTTTTCACTGATTACATTTCAGACGGGTAGATATTATTGTACCGAATGGCAACAATGACGTTAACTAGAGGTGGAGATGCCTCCAGATAGAGATGGAGAGCTGTAAAAAAAACTGAACATGTCCCAGCCCTGATGGCTTTTATCCTCTGTGGGGAAGGGCTCCCCCTGCGGGATACGTGGGGACCGCTGACCTGATCTCCGGCTGATGACCTCCACAATGGAGGGAGGGAAGTAGCCCACGCGGTCAGTGCCCCTTGGGCTGTCATGAATGTGCCCCTTCCAGCGCCCATCCATGTGCTGCTCCAGAACCTGCAGGCAGGAAAGCACAGAGCACTAAGGGTTAGGACAGGCCATCTCTGCCAACAGGCAGCCCCCGAACTCCCCAAACACACCGGCCCCCAGACCGCCTCTCAAAACACAGAGAAAGAGCACGAGCGCCACTATTGCTAAGAATTCCCTAACCTTTCAATGGGATTTCAGACTTCAAAAAGTTTTTTTTTAACTTTCATGAAACACAACAGAACAGTTCATTTCTCCCAAATCACCCTTGCTTCTAGTTTAGATTTTTTTAAATCTGTGACGCCACGACTAAAGCCTACCTCACAAATGATTCCCTAGGAACATGCCCCCTTTGACAGTACCGTTTTCCTTCTAACTCGCACTCCCTCTTTTCTCAATCGGTCCTTTCAGGTGGACAGGCTTGCTATGAGTGACTCAACTGATGTGCCAAGAGAAATGACTACTGACCTCATTGAAAGACAGCACATATTTAAAATACCCCGACCAGTGCTATACAGTATGTCGAGTGGGAATACTGAGGCCATTCAAATTCCACTGATGGCTGAAGGAGAGGGTGGGGGGAAGAAGTTCCTATTGTATGAGGAAGCAGAGAGGCCCATGTGAAGTTGCTGAGTGCAAGGACGTGCATAGGTGCCACATTCCCAGTTCATCAGCTAAATGTCCGGTTCAATGCAGGAATGGTGTGATAAGAACGGCTTTCCTGTTCTCAGAGCCACAGCTCAGGAAGAAAGCACTTAGACTGCAGCACAGCACACACAGAGCATTCAGTACAGACCATTGACGCTATTTAGTTGGAAACTCGTGCCAGAAAAGCCCATTCATGTGTAGGTTCCCAGTGAATAACCTGCTTTCTTATGTTTTCCCTCATTAGTTTTAGTGCATCCAGCATTGTTTCCTAATTGCAGAAGCCCAGCCAGGTTCTGTTTGTGGACATGATAGACATCTTTAGAATGGGCAATGCTGCCTTGCCAAAAATTTGGAAAGACAACGATACGCATATCCCACACTGACACACACACACTACACAGTTATGCAAAAGTAGAACTGCTGGAACTGTGCTCTCTTATTTCTTTCTACATTATAATCCACAATGGACGTTGGACTTAAAGCGAACTGGATTCTGCACTCCTGCAGGCTTCCTTGGTAAGAACATAAGAAAGGTTACAAAGAGGAAAAGCAGCTAGTGAGCCGAGACAGCTTGCTTGGTTGCTAGTAGCTAACTGATTTGAGAGAACAGGATATCAGCTTTGACAACTGTGCTCAATAATTTGTTCCAGACTCCCTAACGCCTGTGTGTAAAACTGTGCCTCCTGTTTTCAGCTTTAATGCATTTTCCCCTAGTTTCCGCTAGTGTCCTCTGGTTTTTGTTTCACTGTCGATTTGAATTTCCAATGGGTCCACGGGCAGTGTTTTCTGTTTTATGGCTCTGGTGTATATCTCTGCTATTTGCACATGAAACACTGCACTTTTTTACATTCGGTAAAAAAGGTCAGATTTTTACTCAGTCTTGGATTTAGTCTGACATTATTGTTGAACATTGGCTGATTATCAAGTATACCAGGATCTAGATCGATATACAGTAAATAAGGAGGATCAGTAGTTCTAATACTGATCCCTGTAGTATGTTGCCAATTATATCAACTAAATATGAGTATTCTTTCTCTGCTGATTATATCCTAGAAGCTCCTATATACAGGTGATTCTGTAGATAAGTATCCATTATGATGACTATGACTTACATGTAATAGATATATGACTTTGCGGCCTTTTTTTTGAATGGATGTTATGTTTTGTGATTTTCCAGTCAAGGGGTATTACCCCTGTCCTAAGTGACTGTTGGAAGAGTTTTATTAACAGTCTTTGAGTGATCAAACAACACAGCCCGTATATCAACCAGAGAACCCCGAGATATGCTTCTGGACTCACACTGCTGCTGCTGAGCCCTTATAAATTAGAAGCAGGCAGCTCTGGTGAACAGAGAATGCATGAGATATAACACCAAGTAGGGAATAGAGCGTGCACACAGCCGTTTCTGCACAGGAAGACACACCATACAGTATTTACACCATGAACTCAGAAGATGATTTTAATATTGGTCATAAGACTCGAGAAGCCATAGCTAGATTCTCTTTCAAGCCAATGAGCCCTATCTGCAAAGGTCTCCATGCTACTGAAACCCGTACCACAATGCGTCCAAGTGCACAGACAGCCAGGCTACCTTAAAGCAGGAGCATCACTCCATCCACCCATCCATTTTCCACCCACGACAGCCAATCTTTGATCACAGGGGAGTCAAAGCCTTTCCTGGCAAGCAATGGGTAGGGCACACCCTGCACTGGATGCACGTCCATCACAGGACGCACACAGACAAGCAACACAGTCAATTCTCCCAGAAGTCTATTAATCTACCAGCATGGTTTGGACTGTGGGAGGAAACCTTAGAGTCTGGCGAAACCCCTTGAGAACACGTGTGTTTGTATGGTGAGAAACATTCAAACTCCACATAGGCAGCACCTCAGGTTCGCCATTGAACCCTGGGCTCCAGTGCTGTGGGGCAGCAAGGCTAATTACTGCATTGCCCCCGCTCTGCCCAGAAATGGACAAGCACAGTTAAAATACAAATTTATTGCAGTTCATTTCCTTCCAAGGTGTTACAACATATACATCTGAATGCCTTGAGGACATGCTTTTAAATTTGTTTCCATAAAATCAGAAATTAGCTGAACTGAAAGAAAAAGATACTGTATATAATCATACTAGAAACTGCACTACAGAACTAGCAAGTGAAGGGCTGCTGAAGTGATTGATGGCCTGGGCCTGCCACAGCCTGTCTCTCCCTGTTAAGGCGCACCTCTTTCCTCCCACGCCCGGGCTGGACAGAAAATTATTTGGCGAGAAAATATTCCATCTCCTGCAGCATCTCTTCGTTCAAATGTCACAAGAAAGGAGTCGCAGCGCCTGCCTTGTGTTCAGAGCAAATGACCTTGGAGAGATTTCAGCGTTCTGAAGCAAAGGTTGCAGCTTTGGATCGAAAACAACAAAAACAATGAACAGAAATCGTCCTCTGGTCTACCTATATTATAAAACAACAATCTCCCTGGCTGCCAGCTTTTATATAAGAGCTCTACAAAGAACACATTGAAACATATAGTGAGTTACAGTTGAAAACATACCAAGACAATACCAACATATATAAAACATTACTATTGTAAAGTTTCTAAGCATTATACGCCAAGACTATACTGTACATGAAATGGTCTGGAAAGCATTTTTGTAATCAGAACACCAATCCCAATCAATACTATTGGCACCTCTGGGGCAGTATGTCAATGAGTGTTAAAGGTCTGGATTTGAATCAGCAATCTCCACATCTGAGGGACTCATTCAGCACTCTGGACAGGACCCTGTTTCTAACGGGTGAGCCTCTTGGAAGCCTGGAAGAGATTTCCTTTACACACTATGATCCTAACCTCCAGCTTCTGCTTAAGCCTTCTTGCACGGCTAAGATGCCTTGGCTTGCGTAGAAATTCTTCCGAACCTGAACACTGAATGCGTGCAAAACACATCTGGAGAACTGGCTTGTAAGGAGAATCATTTGAACTCAAAGCAGTCCCAAGTACCGATTCTGCACAGGACGTATGACCTTTAATAATGCCATAAGATGCAATTATGCCTTTGGTGCTCGTGCTTACCATAATGATGTCCCCTGCACGAATGTTGAGTGCTGTGGGGTCGTGGAGGTTCCAGTAGTCTTTCAGGGCCCTCACCTGCAGGACTCCAGATGCATCTGTGAGAGCAAGAGCGAAGGAGACAGAGAGCATGAAAGAGGATACATTCTCAAAAGGGGAATTGTGCAATAACTTCTCAGAATGCTGTCCATCAAACCTTTGTTTATGCCTGTGGGTACAGGACCTGAGAGCCTGATTGACAAGAATTACCATCAGCAACTATCACAGTCGCAGGGGAGGCTTAGAACACATGAGGTCATGAAATACAGTTTCTGGAAAATGCAGGTGGAGAACAATGTTTTTAATCATTCAACTAAGCCGCTGCAAGGCAGAGGGAAGGTGAGCATTCATTAATAGCATGACTGGAATTCAGCTTTTATTATATATCATCCTATCCTGTTTTGATTGTCACCCAAAGATTTCAACTGACTGAGTGTTGCCCTGTTCTGTGATAACATTGCTGGCTGAACATGGCTGAGTGTATTGTTTACAATGTATCTCTTTAAAAAAGGAGGTAACTCAGATGACGAACAATTCGGTCTATTAGAGTGGTCATACTCTTCCAGTGACACATTCACATCAGTGACCAGCAATCCATCAAACACTAATATCGTCATAACTCGTCATTCTTGCACTTTTTCAGTAAAACGTAAATTCCTGAGCTCTTCAGAAGAGCACATTGTCAGCTGAAAGAAACAGCAAATAATTTAAAGAAAAAGAACCTAGGGCCTCGGCCTCAGATTGGTAAACTCCACTCTCTTTAATATTTACTTTATTATTAGTGCTGATTATTAGACTCTAATATTAGTGCTGATTACCCCTTTAGTTCAAATATCAAAGGAGAGACATCAAAGTTAGTATGAAGCTGAAGTAGAAAACATAGTGAGCCACAGAAGGTATTTTCTCTCCAAACACACTTGCCCAAAAGCATGGATTCTGATTGCCTAGTAGCTGAAAGGACAGCGTTACCTAACAGTGGGCTACAGACAGCTGCTTTTCAAATTACAGTCAGCAGTGGAGGGTTTACTGTGATACAGCAAAGACAAAGTGATACGGGGGCCCCAGCCATATAAATGCCATGACAGGGGATACTGTTGATGAAGGAAAGAGAGAACAAGAAAGAAAGATCAATGAAAAACAAAGTGGGAAAGAAACAAAATAATACCCAAAGACTAGAGGAAGACAGAAAAGAAGGAAAGACTAAGCAAGAGAAGTATAGAAGAAAGGAGGCTGTTAAAGATTGGGCTGTTTTTTCATTCCTGTTTATTACCTGTTAATAACAAAGTGTGACATCTGTACACAGTTTAGGGTTTAGGGCAGGACATGACAGCTTCTCATACACAAACAAGACAGCATTCTATCCTTTCAGTTTTAATTTTGGTTCAAGGCGCTACTGCCAAATATGAAAATAAAATGAAAGAAGCATGCCAACTCCGTGGCTGGGAAATTGTCTAAAAATTAACTAACCATTTATGTATGTTTTGAATGTGACCATAATTTAGCCTTACAAAACAAAAAAGGTGGTAATAAAACCATGTAATACCCTGACAAATCACTGCTGGAGTTTTTGTAGTCAGGTGTCCATGCCTGCTCCATCCAGGCGAACTCACTGTTAACACAAAACAGGACTACTGCCCTCCATCCCACAGAGGGCAGCACTGCGACAAAGCCTCACCTCGAAGGAGCTGCTTGATGTCCTTGCTGGCATGGGATGTGGTGAATTGGTTGACAATATCCAGGGCTGTCTGGTTGTAGGTGTTGCGGATGTTCACGTCAATGCCCGCCTGCCAGGAGACAATTTGGTTTAATAACGAACCCTCCAGAGATACTGGCAGTTGTCTGCCCAAAACACAGGTCATATTCACAAGAAATATTCCATACTGTGTGAAGCTGTATAGTGAAGACTGCATTGAGAGAGCAAAAATTGCGCTCTACATAATCATATAAATACTGCATATGTTCTGCATATCTAAGCAAGCCAGGGATAAGGTGAGATGGCAGGCTGTGGAGTTGTGGTTAATGCTCTGGCCTGTAGGGTACTACGTTCAAGTTCACAATGTAGAAGACTTTTGTACCATTGAGCAAGTTCCTTTACCTCAATTTCTCCTTTTCACAAATTCTGGCAAGGGGAGCAGAGTTTATCCATCCATCTATTTTCTAACTGCTTTATCCAATTCAGGGTTGCAGGGGAGCTGATACCTATCCCAGCAAGCAATGGGCATAAGGCGAGATACAACCTAGATGGGATGTCAGTCCACTGGAGGGCACACACAGACATTAACACGCAACCAGTTTTACCAGAAGCCAATTAACCTACCACTGTATTTGGTTTGTCGCAGGAAACCAAAGCATGTGGAGGAAACCTACGTGAACACGGGGAGAACATACAAACTCCACCCCAGGTCTGGAATTCAACTTTGGGCCCCAGAGCTGTGAGGCAGCAATATTAACCACTGCGTCATGACTCTGATACCAGTTTGCATGGTGGTGCCAGACTGGTGTGTTACTGAAGCCCATTACAACACAGTGCAAATGCAGGGCTTGAGCACTGTAGCAGACATGTTACAGTAGGACTACCAAACTACTGAGAGCCAACTGCCATGAATGATGTATTTTCTACCTACTTTAACTTCAAATGTTAATTATATGACTATAGTTCATGATACCATAGCTGTCTTCACAATGCCACCAGGCATGTACTTCAGGAGGTAATGAAAAGGAAAATGAACAAGAAAATAAGTGCTGATATTTAGATTTATTTTGTGTGGGTTTAGGGCAGCCCGACCTGTTAGCAAAGCACACGGCAGCCTGTTTATACTTACATCCAGAAGCAGCCGCACTACCTCGGTCTTCCCATAGAGGGCGGCCTCGTGCAGGGCTGTCCCAGCCTTGGTGATTTTGTTGATGTCGATGCCCGCTTTGAGCAGCAGCCTGGGAACAAGGAGGAGCTCAGGGTCATACTGGAGCATTCCTTCATCTTGAGAAATAGTTTTCAAGATCCCCAATTTTTCTTCCTATACAAACATCTTTATCTGACTAATCCAGATTCCTGAAGATCTCTTACATGTATCTAAATGTCTACCTGCGCCACAAAAATTCATTAAATAGGTAATTTAAGTCAATAGTTACTCTTTTCGCACTTTGCACATTTCTCTCCTGATTCTCAGCAGCTTATCAACATCTCTATAAAGAAGATGTCTCAGAACCAACTGTCCAAAAGCACAGAGAAAGTGAAAGTGTGGCACGATACGTTATCAGGAGCTGCTATGTTTACTGGAGAATATCTGTTGCGATGATAATATATTTCCGCACCCGTTTTCTCAGACATGACAGGACATTTGATGCTATTGACGCAGCTGTGTCTCTTCCACACTCTGGATTTTATGAAGCAGTTAAAGTTTCTGCCAAGAAAAGGAATAAATCTTCTGCACTCTCCCTGACCTGACAGTAATTTGTTACCTTTACAATCATTTCTGTGTTTGTTATCATTATGCCTCTTTCCTTCAAGCTTTTAGGCCATTAAAACATTTTTATATCCTTTCCTTCTTACAACTTCTTTATATGGTAATTTGTTTTTTCTGGGCTTGATATAAACTAGTTGTGCAAGGAATTACAACATTTTTCTCTGGTTGAAACCAGATCACTTGCCCTCTGTGAACTGCACACTTGCCGTGCTCGTGATGCTGAAAGCATTTTTACAGATAGTGCTCACTGTGAAAAGGCATTACTCAAAGTAAAACTGGACTGATGTTGTCACTGAAATTAAAACATTCAAGCAGAAACACTAAACAAAGCCCAACAACCAGACCAAAAATTTCCCGACATGAGAGCAGTGCAGTAGGAGTTCTGAGCCGTATGCTCCGTTCTTCCTTATTTAAGGAAAGACCGGGATTTTCCATACTGTTTTGTGTGAAATGTAGAGGTGGCAGGAATGTACCTTTGTCTTAGTGCTCTGTTGACATTGCCATCTCAGATTAACACTTAAAAGAATTAGGAGTGTTGGATCACACGCAGCTCTGCAGCAGACGGCTGGAGCTGTAGGAATGCTGTCAGCACATTAGCCCTAGGCAGCTGTACCTCAACCCCTCCTCCGGCTGCCCCCAGAATATGTCAGGCTTCAGAGCTCCCTCTGCATCAGCTACAGGTTATACTACAGCAGCGAAGAGGACCAGCAGACCTAGGTCGCACACTATCAGCTTTGTCACACTTGTATTTCAGTGTTCTTGCTGTTTTTGGGAAAGGGAGAATGCAGCCCCATTTGGGCAAGGGGATCTCGGAGGCTCTTTGTATTTCTGAGATGTTTAACTAATGATATAACTTCAATAACTCCAACCTCACCTAATTTCTGCACTGATATTAGCATTAAAGCAAGATATTGACATTTATCTTGAGGTATTTACTCTGCAGCAGATGGTAATAGCACATTAGAGCTCCTGTCAGGCTTCTGTTTAACTAGGTCCCATAAAATTCTGTACTTTAAAACAGATCATTTTATTTAGGAAAATTGCCATCTAGTATCAGATGCAGGTGACACGGTTCAAAATATCCATCTGAGCTGGTGTGCAGAGAAAAGGAGATGATCAAGGAGGTGGAAAATCTCATTTTAGCTCAATTGCTTAAATCCTCACGGGAGTGCTTTTGGAAAAAGCCCGCTACTTGACTTCTGGTCTTTAAGTCATCCCATCACTTGATTTCATGTTTCAACAATGGCTGCCGAAATTGGGCACTATGGGGGATTTTTTGTACCGAAGCTGCCAGTAGGAAATTAATACCTGAAGACCTTTCAGAATAAGGGGGAAATCACCATTCAGATGAATGATAATAATCATACGGTACATACCAAGTGTGTTGATCAGAGAGCTTTAGAAATTCCATTTCTGCTGGGATGGACAAGATTATCCCTCTCAAGAGGTGGGTGCATCAGCTACTTAAAGCATTTTCCATATATTCCCATCTTTAAGCACTTCTTAGACCGTGAAACATCACATAGAATGAACCTCACTTTTACTCCTGGAACCTCTCCAAACACAGCATTACGACTCTTTGGCAACGTCCATGCTCTCTCAGTGATAAGAAGCCCCTCAATACTAAAACAAGAGAATTTTGCAGCCCCTCGCAATGTATACACTTGGGACTGCAACATGAAAATTGCCAAAGATTCTCTCCTTCAGATTTGTCCGTTTTTATATAGGAGAGCTGTATAGCATTTCATTTCCTCTTAAATATTAACGTACAAAAGGAATAAATTAAAAACAGTGTATAAAAAAATGGTCAAGAAAGCAGGAAATCATGTAGTTTTGTGCAGGAATAGTTGACAATCATCCAAAATCAGGTCTGTTAATTGATCTTTTGAGACCTATGAAATCTCTAGGCCAGAAATGTGGAAACCTTGGTTCTGGAGAACTGTGGGATCATTCATTTGTCATTCCAGGTAAGCTATGAATAAACCAATTTTATTGCTGAATAAGGAACAACAATGGCAATTCTATTTTAACTGCTCTGGTCCTATTTTCTCTCTCTCTGTTGTAGACCTTGCCCAGACAACACTCCGATGGAGTGGGGCCACCTCATTCCTGAAGCTCTCCTGATGTGAACAAAATGCAGAGAAGCTTCAGTGGCACAGGGACTAACTCTGCCTGGATGCATCAGGCCTCTGGAACAAAGCCCTGTGGGTAAATTAGGTCAAGCCTTAAGACTGCTGTGTCAGAAACCAGCCCTTACAATGACGACATGGGCAGACCACGTACTGTATATGACTACTGAACCAGTGTATCCTTTGCCTAAAGGACCGCAGGTGCCTGTGGAGCAAACCACAGGCTCACCTTCAAGAGCTTGAAACAAGTATCAAAGCTGCTGTACATACAGTAAAACAGGACTTCTCTAACATAGGGAGCCTATGCAAGCCTAGGTTGAATGTTTTTAAGTGACATCACCATAATGGTCTCAGTAAGTACTGTACATCCTGACCTTGCCTATTAAAATTGTAGCTGTGCTTTGTGGTTAGCCAAGGCTTTAATATCATAAATACGGAGAGACATAAGAATAGGAATCATCCTATAAGAATAGGATAAGACACTGAAAAGGATACTGCTTCTTTTCTGGTTAAAATGTCTAGCTAGTTATTCAATAGCTATCAACAGACGTCACACTTTACACAGCAGTTAGTGTACTTCATCTGAGGGTGGAGAGAGGCCTGGTTTTGATTACTTTAAACTAATATATTTTTGCATGGACTAGGTGGACGGCAAGAATGCAACAGTAGGTAAGACAGGAGATTAATAATTATAATAATAATTGGTTACACTTATATAGCGCTTTTCTGGACACTCCACTCAAAGCACTTTACAGGTAATGGGCACTCCCCTCCACCACATTCTCTGCAAAAATGCTACAAATGAGCAACTGTGTAATACATTATAAAATATAACCTCTCACAAACGTAAGTGGGGAAATGCAAATATTGGTTCTGGGGAAAACAAATTAGGAGGCAAACCTGACCTTTGTAGGTGCTTTGATAGCTTAGAAAGCTTAGAAAGTGAAATTAGAGTCTATCACCTCTACAAAGAATAAAGGTGGTCACACAAAAATTGCAGCAGTATGAGAGTTGTGTAAAAACAAACATAACACACAGAACAGGACGTGCTCTGCTGATTTACACACAAAAGACCTGCATAAAAAACATAAAAAATGCAACTAGTATAGATAGCCATCAATCTACTCTCATTTCATATAGAGTGTTGCATCACAGTTCGTTCTCTCAGTGGAACTACTGCTCCTTATTTCTCAGGCTAAAACACATTATTTCCTTGTTTTTAACAGCTAGATCATTTGACTTTTTAATCTATTTTCAATTTACAACAGGTGGGGATAGAAATTAATATTTAACTCAATTCACTGCTTGTCTGACATTCATCGAGTAGACAGCTACTGTATAAGGAAGGAACCTATTTTAAACAAAGATAAAGCAAAGAGAGTTCTGATAGCAAATGTCTTGGCACCTGATTGAACTATATTAAGGTAAACTAAAACTATGGATTGGGTGCATAAAAATCTGCTAAGAGATTTGATTAAGAAAACAGTCCAACAGAGATATCCATTACCATGCGTAAATTAAAGCTCCATTAAACCCAGAACAGACGTAGTCTGCGAGACTCAGGAGCAGACAAGGAAAATTCAAGCAATTAAGCAGTCGCGACACACTTTCATCCAGAGCAACAACAGGTTTGTGAAATGGTTCATGCGAGGGACAGAACACCAGGAGGTGCACTCAGAGGGAGTCAAAGGCAGTTCCAAGAACAGGCTTTTCTCTTTAACCTGCGGGCAGTCTTGTGTAAAGAAGGCAGCATCAGTCAGGCAATGTACAAGAATCATAACTGTCACTGCTGTGCTGAACGGCCAGGACAGCCAAACCAAAACATGCATTCAGTTCTTTCAAATACTATGTAAACAACTGCCTCATATGGTTTGAGAATCAAGTCCAGTGCTTAAATTCTTATATAGTCTGCATAAGCCCTGTGTTTAAACCCACAGGGATTTCTTGATAAGCATTACGTTACTGCAATTTGCTCTTCACAATACTCCCTCTCCTTCCCTCTCTCACTCGGGAGTTGCATTAGCATCACGCCAAATCCTAGATTTACTGCTGGGGCAGAGGAAAATACTTTCCCAGAGCCTGCGCTGGTGAAATAACAGATTAGGTTGAACTGTGAGAAAGCGAGAGACAGACAGAGAGGGAAACAGGGGGGGAGAGCAGGGCGAGAGGGGCGACAGAGAGACGAACCGGAGGGCGGAAGGAGAGGAAGGGGTGGGTGCACAGGGGGGCTCGCTCACCTGATGATGTCCTTGTGTCCGTTGCGCGCGGCGAGGTGCAGGGGAGTGTTGAAGCTGGAGTCGGAGCTATCTTTCCTCTCTCCCTCCAGCAGCGCCACACTCATGTTACTACTTAGCAGCAGCTGGGCTACCTGGGGGAGGGGCGAGAGAGAGAGAGAGAGAGAGAGAGAGGGTCAGTCTACAGAGGAGTCTCCCTCTTCATTCTAGACTCTTCATCAAACTCGCACTGAGCCTCTCAACGAAGCAAAGCCTGACTCTGATCAGTCAGCAGACGTGGCCCCGTTCTATGAAATTCCATACTTGGCTAACCAATACTAACCATATTATCATATCAAGAGCTGCAAGAAGCTCAAACCCAGGAGCACATACCTCATCACCGTTTTCATCTGTCATCTCCCATCAGCCCTGACCAGCCTTACATCTGCATTCTTAACTCTTAAGATTTCCATCTGTCTGCTTCAGGAAAATGTGTTTTGTTGTGTAACTCATTTGTCATAAGAGTTCGTTCAGGAACCTTAGAACACTTTCCTCAGGCTTAAAGCATCCTATTCAGAATGAATTCTTTTTTGGCTTTCTACTGAACACATCTGCTGGGAGGTTTGTGTGTGCACCTCATCATCAGCTTGAGGCCCAGGAATGTGCCCCAAGTCACAGTCAGGGTTCTGCAAGAACCAGCCTTGCTGATCCTGGGAGTCAGGACACTTCCCAAATTAGGGTGACAACCTGGACTCCAAGCATGATTAAAACAAAATTCCGATATAAGACGACAGCATTATCTGGTAGCTTAGACATATGCTGTACTTTATAGGACTCTACAGGGATGTAGAGTATAGTACTGTACATGGCTATGCAGGGCCTGTCGGGGCAAAGCAGAGCAGGGCCTGATGCAGACGGTAATGTAAAAGGTGCATATTTAGATCCGTACCTTCAGGAACATGGTGGGCAAACTAGACAATGCTACTATTTTTTGTAGTGCTCATTTTGAAAAGGTAGACCTCTTGTTGAGTAATTGTTGTGACAGCAAGTCTCCTGAAGTACTGTATACAGTACATGAGGTCTCTCCAGCTGCTTATGAAGTGGGAGGGGGATCGATTTGCGCTGCCCCTGATGCCTCTCTGCACATGTGAGTGTAATGATATGGCTGAGCTCAGGGCCTCAGGACAAACTCATTCCATGTTCTGCCTGGCGCTAGCTAATCCCCCGAACGGGCACAGCTGCCGGGCAGGGCTGGCCCAAGATCATTCTTCCTGGCGCCACGGGCGGCTCATATCCCAGCATTCTGCTGAGCTTGGGCTTAGGCTGAGACCAATAAACCCCCCCACTCCCCCTGCCACAACAGGCCGTATCCATGGAAAATCTGATTAACATATCGATGCTCTCAGGATGGAAGAAGGGATCACTGCAGTCTGGAGAGGATTACTGCAGCCCCGTCCCGTTGACAGAGGTAAACCGAAAGTAACACTGAAGCCTGTAGTCTCCTCACAATCATTTTTCACATTTCTGTCTTACGCTCATGCTACTTTCACTGAAAGGGAGTTTTACGAGTTAGAAATGGGTCAGTCTCATAATCAAGGCCTTTGCAGTTCAATTCTTTGCGTCACTTCAGCAAAACTCTGGACACGGTATACAGTATGTCCTTGAGTGGTTATTGACAATGATGCACCAACAATGACCCATTCGTTTGTTTAAGTCCTTGGCAATATAGAAAGTGTTTGTATTACCGAATATCCCAGAAGTAGTATAGCTGAAGTACTGTATGCATCTTACTCACAGCAGTTCCAGGCCCTAGGCTTTGTGATTCACCCATGTGATTTGCTTCTGCTTGCTACACTTTGTTCCTGGTATGTTGCACTATTAAACTGCCTCTTTATCTAGGCTACTTATTTAACCACTATACAAGTAAGTCAACTGTAGTGACTACTGGTCAGACTGGTCACTGTTCTTTTATTTTTAAACAGTATCTTCAGGCAAACAATAATTGACATCCGAGTTTGACAGGACTCAGTGGGAATGCTGGTGTGGGAGGCTGATCTGTGATTGAAGGGAGATTCTAGCACAGAGCACTGGGTTACAGCTGCCTAGACCACGCCTGGCACGGAACGGAGCAGCTGATACAGAGCATGGAGATAGAATCTGGACATATTAAATACCACAGTGGGTCAGCGAACATGTGCCAACGTCTAAAGATATCCCTAACAACTGCAATTAAAATAAACCACGCTGTCAGATCCTACGTGCTTTCTTGCTCGTAAAGGCCAATAAAATGAGCAAGAGGAAATCAGACTTTGTAACACTAGCCTTTTGATCTCACAAATTTCAAAAACACATTTCTTAAAGGATCACAGCAAAAGCAGAAGGCAGAATGCAAAGGAACATGCTGCACTTTCCATAAACTCAATTTTCCCAAGGGAAAGCAATTCCTGCAACCTTGTTTCCTCTTCGTAAAAACCATTACACATCTAGTTCAGGTGGGTAGCTGTGTCAGCATGCGCAGGCTGCAAAGTAACACGTAATAGGTTTATTCCATGCTGAAAAGAGAAGAAAGAAAACACAATGTTTGTATTCTTTCTCCTCTTTTCAGTATTGGAATAAACCTACTACTTGTTCCATTACACATCTATACTTGTTTGGCCTCCATTATTTGTCCACGATTGGAAAGGTGTTGAAAATATGCTGTTTTCATTTAGACACAGACAAGACTGAGCATGTGATGGGTCTGAGAACAGTCATGCATGATACTGGAAAAAACACTAAGTCATTCAGGTTTTCTGTGCTTCCAGTGCCTCCTGGTACTGTAGCAGGAATGGCCACTCTTGGTCCAGCAGGTCCTATAAATCTACCATAAATCATCAATGCGAATTTCTGTGTTATTTGCCCTGCTGGCTTATGATTTCAAGAACACAAAGACATACGGAAAATTACAAATTAGAAAAGGCCATATGGCCTATCTTGTTTATTTGTCTGCCAGGAGGTTCTGGGTGCAAGAATCTCATCAAGCTGTTTCTTAAGGGGTCCCTGGGGGTATGCGCTTCAACAGCAGGGCTGGGCAGTTGGATCAATAAACCTGTGACCTTAATGTGCAACAAATAAATATACAATGTAGTCTTAATGCTCTGAACCACTTTGATTTGTGTTTTGTGTTGGCTTTAGCCTGGGCTTAAAATAGCAAGGAAGGAGACTGAACACAGCACTGACTGAATCTGCGATTGTATTCACTTCTATACCCTCCTCTGGTCTCAATTCAGTTCTATCCATATGCTGTAGACTTTCACATAAGTTGTCACCTCCCAGAATGTAGCTTTTAATGTTGTAATATAATTATGTAATTACAATTTCTTAACAGCTTTGTTGTATATTCTCACATTCCTTGGATAAATGTTCTACATTCTGGGAAATGGTAACTTGCAATTTTATTCTCGGCAAATCCATTTATAAAACATCATTGTTAGTCATCTGCAAATCAGACTGTTTCTGTGAAAATATAATCAATTGTTTAGCAGACACCTTCTCTCCAAATGACTTTGCCAAGACTAGCCATTAAACTTAAGCACCAGACTACTCTGCCAACCAAGTAGCTTCTGTTTTTGATTTTTCTTGTAATCATGAGCCAGAATTCTAATGCACTGAGCAGCTTTATTTCTGGAACACAGCTAGAAACCAAACTAGCAAGATGACCTTTGCCACCCTCTTGTTTGTATTCTTTCTTGTGTTCTTATACTTCTGGGAATTGTTTGTTTGTAGTTCTAGGTGAACTTTGAAGGAGATAAATGGCAAAGCCCTTTGAATTGAAAACCATGTCAAACCTATAGGAAAGTATAGGAAAGTCTGGTAAACCAGGGTTATTGACATAGTAAAATCTCTGGTGGAGTTCTTCAGAGCACCATGCCTAGTTGCCCGTCTGTGTCCTTATAACAGCAAACATTCATGATCAATACCATTGACAGCTGGCAAAGAACGACTAGCTTGTCAATCTGACACGTTTAAGGCCACAATGGGATTTCAGAAAGAACATTAAATAAAAATGTGCTTTCCAAATAATTAATCCATTTGCAATAAAGAAATGACTGATTCTACAAAACCAGACTGCAGGATGGCTGGTGTCTGTTGTGCTTCCAAATGAATCCGAAAGCTCACAGTTCACCAGCTAAAGTTCACGACAGAGGCCTGACGGAAGATGGAAAGGCTCTCGTTATCGCAGCCTTTGTCTCAGGAAGACTGGGAGAACAATGGAGCCCATCCCTCGACCTCAGGCTTTGTTTGAGCAGCTGTCACAGACGGTGAGGATGAACCCAGGTCAGAGAAGACGCCACATCCCCAGCAAATTTCCCCCAGACCCCTTTTCTCCTCCCGTCAACACTGGTCATGGAATCAATCACCTGCTTTGTTGATCACACACAGCTAAACACACAGGACTACTGCTGAAGCACTGTACTGTGTCAGGCTTACTGTGATATGAACCCTAAAAGCTACTGTTTCTTTTTTCCAGGACGTGTTGTTCTACATACAATAAAAGTTGTATGCTAAATTATCCACCTTCTTTCTTTTCTGCTAGGTTTGACAGTAAGTCATCTAAAAATGGCTAATGAAAAAACAAATTGGGGGCCCTAATCAAAATATATAAACGCGTGCAGCAGCTCTTGTAACTCCCTGTGCAACACCACAGAGTGAAGCCCTATCTTATGACATCAGCTGATACCTCGGTTTCTTTTAAGGTCTGGCTGATGAGATCTTTGGAACAATTGACTACTGACTACCAAAGGGGCTAGATGAGCCGAGAGACCTCCTCTCCTTTTGCATCATGGCTGTTTACGTATGAGTCTTAACAGTGCCAATTTATTTTTCTAATACAGTTCAGCATTTCTCATAATCAGCACTGAAGCAGACCATACTTATTAACTGAATATTACACATGTCTAATAATAACAGTACTGGGTATGGGCAAGTGCAATCAATTATAGGAGCTTGGAGTGATTGCGGAAGATGTAAATCTGCAGGTTTTTGTTAGTGTGTAGTATTGCGACTATGTACAGGTTGATGTCCTCTTTTTACGTTATATTTATTTTTAATGTGATATTTACTTGTACTGTTAATATATTTTGATGAGCTTCTTGTGTGTAAAACATAGCTGCAGGGGTGTAAAATTTCTGGGAAATCAGGAAAGTATTATCGTATCATATACTGTATAGGAATGTTAAATATGCACGATCAGGCCGCTGGCACTTAAGAGATCTGATAAAACTCAGCTCACCTTCAGCCTGCCAAACTCACAGGCGAGATCCAGGGGCGTTTTTTTGGCTTTGTTGACGATGCAAGGGTTGGACTGGTGCTGCAGCAGCATCTCAGACTGCAAGAGAGAGCAGGGGCAGAGGAGTGTTGACACATGCCATTAACAAAAATATTAACACACGCAAGCCAGGGTTGTGTGAATCACAGAAGCCAAGCCAGACACCTAGACCATTCTGAGACCCCACTCTAAAGATACAATGCTTAGCAAAAAAACAACAACAAATACTCTGTAAAAGGTGAAAATGCCAGTGAAACATTCTCTGCAAATAAAGAAACAACAATCGTACATTCCACTTATCACTACAAATGAGAATTTCTTTATTAAAAACTCTCCAAGAGTATTTTTTTGTAACAAAGATCTGCACCTCTAACAATGTATTGTATTACTTAATTGCATGACTGTGAAATAATACTGACGTATATCAAAACAGCAGTTTCCAAAATATTTCTTAATACTATGTTTCTTACACTTTTCTTAAGAGAAACCAGGCTGTTGAAGAACAGCTTTTACTCTTTTTTAAAACAAGACCCAAATTCAGTCTGAAACTTCAAGTCACCTACCAAACAAACAGAGTCTTCGATGGTGGTTCTCCACTACATAGATATAACCAACTTTGGGCAAACAGAATGTCCACTCAAAAGATATACAGTAACTAGAATTTGCAATTGATGGGAGGGGGGAGATTTAGTCAAATCTAGACCTTGATCTCTAACATTAGTTGTAAAAACAACATATCTGACATCATTGATTAGATTCAAGTGTGTAAAATCATGTATTTCCTTGTCTATAATCTGCCTCTTTAACCTCTATAAGCCATTTGATACTGTGCTCTAGTCTGGCCTCATTCCAGCCATGCCTGCATTGTGCTTGTTAAGGACCTTTTCTGAAAATCCCCACGTGTGTGACAGGATTCCAGCACAGACCCCCTTTAACAGATGCAGCTTCAGTATGGGGCACTGGGATTAGACGGAGGGGAGTCTTCTGTGGTTGAGAAAGCTCCGTTTGGTGAATCACAAGCAATCTGATCTCTTTGCTCCTCCTGAGCTCTGCAATTAACACCAGCTAAGGAGCTTGGGTATATTCCACGGTACTCCACTAGTGTACACCCAAACGCACTACACCACAAGCCAACAGACCCCAGCCCTGCAAGCCTTCAAGCCCTTACAGTTAATTATAAAGGACTGAGACCTTCTGGCTACCCCAAGGTTAAAAACTTTGCTGCTTAATGGGATGCCATCTCTCCTGTGTATTTTCGTAATTAGAGTCTTTAATCTTATTCCCAAAATTTAAGGATCCCATTATCATTCAATTAAAAAAAATGATGCAGCTTAATCAGGTATTGTTATATATAGATCAGGCTTCAAAGTTCTAGTATGAGCTAATGAGGTTTTGGGAGCTGTGCAAGGCTGGGCTTCAGTTGTTATTGGAAAAGAGATCTCTAAGAATAAGCATGAGAACCACAACACCTGAAGACCAGTGGTTGGCACTCATCCCTCTGAAATAAGACCATTATTTATTATTATTATTGCCTAATACCAATGCTTTGTCATGATAAGAGCCAGCATGCCTTGGCTGTAGTAAAGTGTACTGACAGAACAGGTCTGTCACACATGACTATTAATCCGTGCTGCAATACTTCTGTTTTTCTGCCATGGATAAATACTTTTTTAAAAAGCAACCTGTTAGCTACAATAGTGACCTCCTGTGGTTCAGCCAATTCTTTGGTTCAGCACAGGCAAGTTCTTCAGGGTCCTGGACTAGAGAGCTCCAATCTGTCAACTTTTTAGGGATTCATGACACTCCAGTAAAAGTCAGCAATGCCGGTGAAAACTGAAATCACGCAACGCATTGGCTGCGGGACTTCTCACACACAAGAAAGGAAGGATTCCTGAAAGATGCCCCCAAGACGCATGTGGGAATTAAGGAATCTGGGCCTCAGATTCTGCCTGATTTCTGCACAGATTCTGTCGCAGAAGTCAGAATAGTGGGGATGAAACAGAGTACTGCTGAACTGCACATTAAAGAGGTTCAAGTTGCATGCTGGCACACTGCACTGAGAGACTCTTACCTGCAAGCAGGGGCCCTCAATAAGACAGTGCTGTTGTATATACCTACCACTTCATAGTGTCCATACTGGGCAGCCAGGTGCAAGGGGATCTGCCCATCCTGCGACGGCATGTTAACAGAGCCCCCAGCACGCAGCAGCATGAAAACAGAGTCGGCCTTCCCTTGCCAGGCAGCATAGTGTAGCGGCCTCATTCCTGTGGGACAGCAAAGACACATATTCAGCCCCGCCAGCCCTGCCCCGCCCTGCGTTAATGACGAGCTGACCACAGGGTCTGGCCACTCAGGGCAACACTGTGCCAGTGGCATGTGACCACAGAAACCCCTCTCACTCACTGAGAATCACAGCCTGCCAACAGCCCAGTCTAATGCTTTTCAAAGACACGGCTGACGTTTGGTGGGAAAACAAGATGGAGTAGTTAATGAGGTCTGAGCTGGCTCTATTTGAAGGCTCTGTTTTTCAGCATCTATTTCTGACAGATGACCTTTGAGGCCGTAACTGATGTCTGTCAAGCTGTCTGCTTTTTCACGAATGCTGACGCAAAGTTTTACCACATGTCTGAAAGTAGATGGATTGCTGTGCATTTAAGGTTGTCCTGATAAAATTCTTCCAGATGATCCCTATTTTAGAGCAAGGAGTAGTTATCCAAATGAAACCAATTCCATAACATGAGAACAGGGCAGAGAAATTTAGGCAATTTATAGAATTAGTCATCAGGATATGGTTGCAATTGAGTGTTGAATCATTTTTTCAGGTTTAATAAACGTGCTGCCTAATCATGCACTAGAAGGTAGACGGATCAATAACAAAAAAACAGGAGTCCTTTATCTAAAAACAGTAGAATCAAAAGAAAAATTCCCACTATAATTAATAATAAATTTTTTTAAAATGATAAAACTGAACTTTTACAAAAGCACACCTTTAAAAAAAACTTTTATGAAGCACGCCTTCAAGTCCTGGTTGATTAAGGCATCAAACTTTCAGAGAACAGACACAAAATATATCTAACAAATATTCATTATGACTTTTACAAGTCTCTTAAGGAAGGGACGATGGCACAGTGGTGAGCATTTCTGCCTTGCAGTGCTGGGGCCCTCGGATCTGTGAGGAGTTTGTATGTTCTCCCCATGTTTGTGTGGATTTCCTCCAGGTGCTCTGGTTTCCTTTGTGCAGTAAGACATACTGGGAAAACTGGGCCTGGCTTGAGTGTGTGCATGTTTCTATCTGTCTGTGTGCCCTGAAATGGACTGGCATCCCCTCCAGAGTGTATCCTAAATTGTGCCTGTTGCTCGCCGGGAGAGGCTCCGACCCTGTACTGGATAAAGTCCCCTGAAAATTGATGGATGGATAAGTCTCTTTAAAGAAAACAACTTTTGTTATTATTTATTAATCATTGTATGAATTTCTATTAATTTAAAATTGTGAAAGTCAGTTTAACAAAGACAGATTTGGCATTATTACTTATTCATTTGATGTAGTTTTAGACAACCTGGTTATATCTAACTTCTGGACTGTTTAGGGTTATGAGAGCTCAAGGCGTCTAAATCCCGAGGAAGATAGTGTCATGAAGAACACAGAATAACCTGACCTTAATCCCCCAACTGAGTAATAAGTTGTATCCTGTGAAATAGCACCATAGGAAGACATTTCCAATATAAAAGGTAGCCCCAGCCTCCTAGGTCACTTGGTTACTTCTATGGCACAGATGAGTGAGATGGTCTGTGAAACAACTGCTACTGTAGTTCCTACTGTTCTAATACTCTTTCAAAAGGTACAGTTCAAACTGGTATCTGGCTCAATAATAAAACTGCCCCTGATTCTTAAAGGAATTCATTTTCTAAAATGTATTTGCTTGGGTGCTCCTTACATTTGCACCCGTTTATACAGCTGGATATTTTGTGGGAACAATTCAGGTCAAGCATTTTGCTCAAGGTCACAACAGCAGTGTCTCACCTGGGATTTGAATCCACAACCTTCCTGTTAGGAATCCAGAACCCTAACCATTGCTCCACACTGCTTCCCAGGTAGACATGTGTCATTGCTTTTTAAAATGGACCTGGCAAAAAACCCTCTCTTTCATTTTTATAAGACGTTAGCCACAGTATCTTATAGTGTGTGGATTAAGCGCAATCTGAACAGTTTTGAATTGCCAGAGGTTCAGCTCTTTAATGTAACTGATGGGCTGTGTGGCCTTTCCTGATCTTTACGTTGGTATTATTTCACTGTGTCCTGTATGATGTGGCTCTCCGGCAGGAGATCTGGTCTCACCATTGCTGTCCTTGATGTCCACTGTGGCCTGGGCCTCCAGGAGCAGTGAGATGAGGTCAGTGGTGCCGGTGAGGGCTGCATGGTGCAGTGCTGAAAACCTGTGGGTTTTGGAGAGATGGGAGAGAAAAGGGTGAGACCTGGGCTCATGGATAAGGAGCTGCCTTCCATGCTCCATGATTTTGATGGCCAGTATGGGATCACTGCAATGCTGTGGATCAGGGAAAAAGCATCATATCATCAGTTCAGCCGAGAAGACAGGAACTCGGAATTAAAGTATTAAATGCATTGAGTGTAAAATTATAAATAGTTAAGGGGTGGCTTGTAGATTTCTCTTCCTCTTTCAAAAGTTTTTTCTGGCCCCCTGTATCTTATATAGGCTATAGGCTACTTCAATTTAGGACTGCAAAGCATGGCTTTTTATGGTCAAAAACTGCACAATTGGGGCTTCTCATGAAATAATGAGGGGTATCTGGAACATAGTGTCATTGGGGCAACATACAAAAGGTATCAGACACCATTTTTCTTAGAATATGTTAATCAACATATGCCAAAACCGTTTTCAGAATAACTATAAGGACACAAAATTCAGTTGGAGGGCTCTATATAGTTCTAGAGGCTCCCATTACAATTACCAAGAAAATAATGTTTCTGTTTGTGAATTTTTTTTTCTTTGTGGATTTTATTTTGAGAGATATGAAAAGGTGTGGACAAATGTGAATCTTGATTTTCTGAAATTCCGTTATGACAAACTCCGACATGTCTGAGAAATGATGATGACACAGTAACATCTTTAGAATTGTTTTACGATCATTCTGTTTCATGATGATTTTTGTTCCCATTTTATCTGGGGGTGTGAATAAATAAAGCTTATTCCGGAAAACAAACCCACAATAATTTGCAATGACCTCCTTTTACATTCTCATGCAAATGTGTCAAATAGCCCTAGATATTATTAACCATTGAAGCTCGTCATTCAAGAACAAAAAAAAACAAATCTGACTGGTATATTTTCTTAATAATTAAATGCACATGGTGACCTATTGTAAATTCAAAAACTGATGGTAAATACCCATAATTGGTTAATTAACACTGGTATTACAGTTTAAAGCCACCTCCTAACACAATGTCTTAGTACCAGTACCAATGTCAGTGCCAGTCAAGTTGCTAACCTGTATTTACTTTTGCATTGTCATCTATACAGACCACAATGACCTGCAAGCAAACCTGCATAAAGCTTCCTACCTCAATTCCCACCACCATCTTCCCTTTTAAAGGAGACAAACACATATAGAAACAGTATATTCTTTTCAGGGAAGAGGCTCCATATGGTGAATGACTGTTGAGAACAAGTGCTGTAGCATTTAACACGGCTACTATAATGTTATTCATGCCCAAACTGTGCACATTTCTTACAGACAGTTCTTCGCGTTATGAGACGTGTTTTGTTAACCTCTTTCTGGGAAGGAATCTGTCACTCCTGGATAAATGAAAAACCATAAATACTACAAAAAAGCATTGTATTGGTCTGAGCACACCAATTATTGTGTCTATGCTGAATTACAGCATCACCTCACCTTTTCAAACAAAGCCAAAAGGCACACGAATCTCCCTAAAATATTGTAAATATTTTTTTTATATATTCCAGACAGAGTAAATTGAACATCCATACTTGCTGAAATAACATTCCTGGGGATTTTAAAACTGACTACCGGATATTGTACCCTGTCTGGTTCCAATGCTCTTAAAACCTGGTCTACTATGGAGGGCTTCATTCAGATATGGTAAAGGCATTAAAATTCTTCTGACTCTGTTTTCACATCTTCACTTAAGTCATGTTCTGACAACATATTATGGTAACATAAACTAAGAAATTTTCAGCCATTGTGTTTTGTCTGTTAAACCTTCATACAAAAACAGCTGGCCCTTGATATACGAATCCATTTCTTCTGGGCTGAATCCCCTCCCTTCCTCCAATCCAGCAATCATTTTTCACATTTCATAAAAAGGAGATTTTAACATCTAAGGGTGATGGCATATGGCTACTGTATATAGCCAATGGAAGGAGAGAACTAGAAATAATGTAAAATTTAAGACTGGGCATCAAGACCCAACATGAAAAGCGTTACTCATGAAACGCCACTAAGGGATCTTAACTGAACTTTATGTTTTTAAACTATCTTGACAGATACGATTCCTTTTTCTAACCGGGTTGTTTTTGGGTCACTGAAAATGCTGACTTCTTGCCTTCTCTTCTAAAAACAGCAGATTGGCGCATCAAAAGCACACTGGGCCCATAACCCAGAGTGTGATGAATCAAAACCACCCTCTTGCATAGTGCTCATTTGGGTTCTGGGCGTTTGGAACAAGTTATCCAGCTATGTTGTTGAAGCCAATGTAACAGTTTCTTTCCAGAAACAGCTGAATAAGATTCTTGGATGAATTAACTGATCACCACCAAATGAGCTAGATTGGCCAAATTGTCTATTCTGATTTGTAACATTTATGATGTTCTTTTTGCAAGATTATAAAATTCAATATCACAGCTCGGAATTATGATGAGTCTCCTATGCTACAGGACTCAGGAATCACAAAGCAGTAAATAGAAAAGCCTCTATATGCTTTTAAAAACAAAATCAAAAGTCAATTATGCACAAAATAATAAGAAACGGGAGAATTATTATTTTCAAAACAAGCTTTAGACATTACACAGTTTTATTAATATGATAAGAAATTACAACCTGTCATAAAAAGCCTATGCTTTTAAAAAGCCTATGATTTTTATGACTACTCATATTAATTACCAAATTACGATCTTTGAGCATCTCGGTGACTTTCACAGAGATCTCTTTCATTGGCACACAGTAGCAAAAGAGCTTCTCCTACGTACATCAGATTAAGGGCACTTCAAAAAAGAAGCTTCTTCAAATCAGACGGCTGAGCTGCAGATATGGATTCTGAAGAGGGGCTATAATGGTAACATTACCAAAGGGACACATTCGCTGCTTTGAATGCTCTGTTACACAACCTTTTGGAGGAAGATAAGAATTCTGGTTGAGTACTAGAGACGTTCATGAGACATCCCCCTTTAAAGACTCGCAGGTCTCATATTAGACCGCTCAGACTCTCTCTATGACAGCTAACAAGCAAATGTTTGTAGGAGCAAAAGACAAGACAGGGCTCTCAGGGTATCTTTTGCATCAATTAAGACGAATACTCAGGTAACACGCCATGCTTAACCCCTCTTTCCTGGAGTTTAATTAAGAAAGAGCTGTCTTGAGAAGCTTACATGCTGATTACAGGCAAGCCTAATGTGAACCAAGTGTACAGTACATCTGTTCTCTCTGGCTTTTCCTTAATGTGTTTTTGGGATGTTTTTTGAGGTTTTTAACCTCAATTTATTTTTAAACTTTACAACTGCTAGAAACCATGAGGACTAGCAGACTGATAATGGGTAGATGGCCACCTGCCTGACTGCTCTTTTTCACTGTAAAAATAAAATCACCAGAACTCATGGGAATGTATATTTTTGGACTATTTATGGTAACAACTGTTTAACTGTTCAAGCAGTGGTAACTGAATTCATAGTTTTGGTAAGTCCAGAGCACTGACAGAGAACTGCTGTGTTTTATCTTGGTGGAGTCAGAACTTCCTGCCCTCTTACAGCTCCTCTACTGCATCAACAAAATTCTTCCACTTCGCAGATCACAACCTGTCCATCTAGTCCTTAAACTGCACCTGTGACCACCAGGGCAGAGAAGCCCTGCAGCTGGATTCATTCAGTCCAAGGTCATACTTCAGATCCACTGTGACCTCTGGTCCCTGTCTAGCAGCTTCTCCGGGATTCATTTGACCTTTATCCCCAGGTATAAAGGTGTGAACGAAACAAGGGCCAATGGAGGGCACAAGAGGACATGATGAAGAAATGAATTTAGGTATTGGGACAGGAGAATGGAGGTAGCAGAGTGGGGCAGTGGTAAGCATTAATGACTTGCAGCGCTAGGGTACTGGGTTCAATGGCAGACCTGGGGTACTATCTGCGTGAAGTTTGTATGTCCCCGTGTTCATGTGCATTTCCTGTGAGTGCTCTGGTTCCTCACACAGTCCAAAGATGTATTACTGGTTTAATTGACTCTTGGGGAAACTGACCCTGGCATGAGTGCGTGCATCTCTGTCTGTCTGTCCTGTGATAGTCTGGCGTCTCGTCAGGGGGTTGTCTTGCACTGGCTCTGCCTATCCCCATGGCCCTGAACTGGATGAAGCAGTTCGAGAAGGAATGGATGAACTGGAGGATGGGTGGGTAGGTTGTGGATCCCTGGAGCAAACTACCCAGTCATGCTGTTGAATAAGCCTGGCTTCTAACTGCATTGGAAAGTTCCACTGGGAGTGCTCTCCGTACACGAACCAAGCCTTTGTCCTAGTCTCTGAGAAGACTGCCAGCCAGTACGGTCAGGGCGCCGGGCTGCGCTGTGCCTGGCAGGGCTGCAGAGACGGGCAGGCCTGCTCCTGCCTCACAGCATGTCGCCCATGTGACTCACACAGCTCTCCCACTCCACCTGCTCTCCCGGGCTCCTGCTGACTCAGTGACTGCGCCGACACTCACCGCAATGGCATGACAGCCTCCATGGCTTTGCACAGACAGGCTTTCTAATTACAGTACATGTCAATGGCCAACTCATGCCAACACATGTACTGTACAACCATCCTCACTCCCTCACAACGCAGAGTACACTAACGCTCAGCTCACATTAATACTAAAATTAACTGAAGGTGGTGGGCAATAAAAAGACAGCTCCTGTGATTGTCCAATGCCACACAAATGGGAATTCAATTCAAACGGCTGCACTACTGAACTACTGAAGACCTAAGACCCACAAAAACAAATACAGAGATACTGCCCTCTATAAAAATGTAAAGATTATATTGTCCAAGACATAACAGCTCATTATACTAAATCATTAGAAACTATAATAAAGAATAAATTGAACCATACATCTCCATACAGTAGCTATGGAATTCTTGAACTATTAAATTGTACAGGAAGACCTTCCTGAATGAATCTCTTTGACCATATCAGACAAAATTTAAAAATAAATGGATC